AATGGTGTCGTGAAGGTAAAATTTTTATTGTATTTAAATTATATACCCGATGTAGGCCTTATTAGAGATAATAGCAACGGTTTTTATATAAAAGTCAATTCGGATATTATATAAATAGCTTAAAATGGTAAATTTCAAATTCATACGTAAATAAATAATGGTGCTACATGTTTAGAAAATCGATTTTTATAGACATTCAATATAAATTTAATTATCTAATAACAGCAGGTAATCTAACATGTATATTCTCCCAAATATATTTTGAGTTGTAAGTATAAATATGTAATCTTTTGATAATACTTTTTCTCTTTCATAAATTAATATACAAAAACTTTTTCCTAGAGTTATATGTGGATTAAAGATGAATATCTGTCTCAGTAAACCAATAAAATATTTATCTCATTCATGTTTACAAAAGCATATCCTTTAATGTTTGTTTGTCAAATTAAAAATAGTTCATTAAACAATAATATCAACAAAAATATATAATTTTGGTTTTAGGCTTGCTTTTGGCTTGATATGGAAAACTTGTTTTTTAAATGTATCTCCTACTTTTTAATATTTGCAAATTAATTTATAATTATCTGCTATTACTTGTGCATAATTGTTAGCGCAAGAAAATGTAAAAAAAAAACTAAAAAGCGCATAAAAAAATCATCTATTTATCTGTTGTAGAAGCTGACAAAAAATTGATTGACTTCACTATTTGACTCTGCTCGATTCCTGTGAAATGTATCAATATTTTTTGCATCAGACCAGTTAAAATACATTTCCGATTTAAACAAATTTTCATAGTTATAAAGTCTTTGCTTCAAACAATCAAAATCACTTTTGATTGTTATTAGACAGTACGTTGTTTTGACGTAAACTCACTTCAACTTTGAGCTTTCATATGTCGATGACGATTCATCGTATCCACAAGATCAGTGGATTTTGTTCGTCAATCCTTCCTCTATTTGATCCTACAATTACATTTGAAGAATATGCAAATACGGTAGCTCCAGCTCTAAATGTTTATATGTATTTTTTCGAAGAAATTTTGAAAAAATTCTAATTGTTGCTAAAATGGATAAAATCGAAAATTTTTAAATGGGAATTGATAGTTGAGACTCCAAAGGTAAGTATACAAATTGGGAGCTCAAAATAATCATTGGTTTTACCGTGAGAGAGAACTGAAAAATAAGTATAATTCTGTATTTTCTTAATTGACAATTGAATTGTGCGAAATCTACCCGGCCGATTTCGATGAAAAAATTTCTGCAATACTGCTATCATGAAGTACTCAGAGGCATACCTTTTATATGGCTGCTCTAAAGTCAAGGTCCGAAATAAATTTATGAAAAAAACATGTTTTTTCACGAATATTTTTTTTTACTGTATTGCAGCAACAACAGTGCACATACAAATTTCGGACCACTTTTATTTTGAAGAGAATCTCAAAACTAAACTTTTTTCCTTTGACTATTTCCTCTAATGTCAATATTCTCCGAGTTATACATGAAAGAAGGGAGAAAACTACGCCTCTTTAATTTTTTTTACATTTTTTTGCGCTAACAATTATGCACAACTTTTTCAGCGGGCGCATATCGCAATTACCATTTTACATAATATTTAGAACTATTTCCAACAAAAATTAGCGTTACTATATAAAAGTGATATAAAACATACATCCCGAAACAGATACCGACTGGACTATATAAGTATGCACAATGCTTGTACAATTTAATATAACTGCCTTGACATCAGTTCATATGCAGTAAAAGTAGATCCTTTTTATAATACTCTTTTAAATAAACAACGACGTAAATTGCAGGAAAATGACCTGCGTTGTTTCATATCGTCTAACATGGAAACAAATATTGAAACCCAGGGAATATCGTATCTTATTCCAATTTTTACACAAAATGCCAAATACTCACAAGAGTTGCTTGAAACGTTTCAGAAGAATAATTTGTATAGCCTGGCTAACAAAACGTCGTCATTTTATCAAGGTTATACTTGTAAAATAAGTAAACCTGTATTCCAAGTACAAGGAATAAATATCACTATTATGTTGGTTCACGGGATGCAATTTTTTTACTCGAGGCAATAAATCTATAAAACCAGCGATGTACAATCCTTTTAACTTTGACCTAAATATGAATTAAAGAGAGACAAAGATATAACTCCAGTACGGGGACGCTATTGAAATCAGGGCCATACCAAAATCGTGCCGACAGATTTGACATGAATAAGTGCGGCATTGGATTAATTAAATTTATATCCTTTTTATAAACGGTACGAAGTGGCTGTAAAAAATAAATGTATCTAATTTTTTAATGGGTTTGTAGAAGGTTTTATACGACGATATCCGGTGGCCTATCATGGGCTTGATTGTACCGATAATTTATTAGAAAACGTTTTAACTTTTATTGCACGTTATAAACTAATTAAAATAAATTACGTGCTTATTGGAGATACCCCATGCTTCTGTAACATTACGAATTAATTTGAGCAATATTTAAAATACATTTCTTATAACTAGGTAACCCTTATAAAATCATTAGCCACCTCTTTCACTCTACTTTTATTTGTACTTTCTTTAAATATACTCTCATTGTTGAGGATTAATCATTAGTCACCAAAGTCATTGACTATTTTATTTACTTGTTTATTCACATAACAATTCAATTCTGCTGTTACAATTTATGTAACATTTTTTTGTAGTCAAGTAAATGTTTAAAGTATCACATTTTTAGTAATTAAATAAGCTTTCTTCAAAATGGATTAAAATGTCTCAAAATAATTAAAAAAAACTTACCTTCTGAATTTAGCGGGGTAATGGTGGTGGTTGAAGTAGGAGCCAGTGCAAGAAACTTGGGGCAAAACAAGCCCCATCCAATATTCCAAGGTCTCGAGGTACCTTCGCTGCTCTATGCAAAAAAAATCAGTGAAAATTTCATAAATAAATCACAAAATATAAATTTAATTGAACTTAAACCAGCATGATTAATGTTAGTCTCTATTTAATTTAGTAACACATCTAATTACTTACATTGTTTGCAAAGAAGTTTGTAACGTTGAAAAAAAGGATCTATCTCTAAAAAATTGTATTTTTCTCAAAACTCGCATTTGAGTAACAAACAAAAAACATAAAAAAATATTCTTATCTCATTCAGACATGATTAACAGTTTTCGATATAATCCACAAATAATACATGTTTTAATTGTTGCTTTGCTCATCTATTGTATACTTATATTTAAAATGCAAATTTTGTTTTCCAATTGATTTTTTGATTTACCTATACATTTTTATGTATTGCTAGGTTAAATTTTCCAGTTTTTATAAAACGTTTTGCCAACCAACTGTATCATTTTTAAAAATAAAAAATAAAATACACTCTTTATGTTGGAAACTATTACTTTTAACAAAATAGAAAAACATATTTTTTATCTATTATTATTCTGGGAATTATTATCTAACAATTCTTTCGATAAAGTTCTCATGAATATACTTACAAAATGATAGGTACTACTAGTTAAACTTTTTAGGTGCAACCTTCAGTAGGTATAAAATTAAACCCTAATTAATTACAACTCAACTGGTGAAAGTGGGCTTTAGATAACAAAAAATAAAATCCTGAAGGGGCATATACGAGAAATGTTTTATTCAAATTCAAAATAACCCGTAAGAATGTAATTAATAATAGGTACATTTTAGGTAATTGATTTATTGATTACTTGCATTTATTCTTCACTGTGACGATTGTTGGTTTTTAAAAAACAAATAGACACAACAGTAAGCTATAAAAACAACTAAATTCGATAAAATTGCATTGCTTGATAAGCTTAAACAAAGAGAAATCTCTGTTTATGTGCTAACTTCAGATTTCTTTGTAGGACTAGGTAGATCATACCCACATAAAATTTGCAATGTATAATAATAACAGCATCTGTTTAATATGTTAAAACATACATTTGAAATGGACTAAGGACCCATAGAGATATCAATAGAACAAAAAATATTTTTTTGTACATACCTACAGCAATTATTATTATTCATACAAAAATTATTTGATTTACTTATAACCAACTGTTGGATTTAAAGAGTAATAATTAATAACACTGTGAAAATATAACATTTCCTAGGCTATTTACTGTTTAGTTTCCAACAAAAAAACATGTTGCTGCAAACAAAAAGGCCACCAACCGAGGAAGAACTGCTTAATTAAAAAGGTACTTACATATTTAGAATGCAAATTTACATAAATTTCTTAAACTGCTGCATAATTCTCAGTAAAAAGTATCACTTTAATTCACTAAAAATTGAAAGTATTTTAACGTTCAGTCAAGACTAACTAGTCCCGTTTGAAATAGGAAAAAAAACACCACACCACTACTTAGTTACTTATTTACGAGTTTTACCTCACGATGTTGTTTTTTGATATAATTTAAACAAACTCTGCTATTTTTCGTTGGGATTTTGTTAACATTTGGTTTATTATTCAGACAATAAACAAAATTATTGTCAAACTATTTATCGTGATATTGACTGAAAATCAACACTACCGCTCACCGCGGACATGCCACGAATTAACTAGTGCCAAACTTCAGATTATCTCCTGCAGATAGCGCATCAGCCTAACGAATACACCATTGAATATGAAAAGAAAATGGAAAGCGTTAACTCAGAGCAAATGTAATTTATTTGTTTCCAAAATTAACACATGACAAGAGGCGTTCATTTTCCCAAATAGAATAGATTTAAACCCCGCCCTCATGGTTTCTCATGAACAGACAATCTAAAAGTTTAATATCCAGAATATGGATATTTAGGGATTACACTATTTAATTAATCTGACTTACCTTAAAGTGACTTCCATCGAAGTTATCAATGATGAAACATCCACAAGTCACATGGAAGATCATGAACTAAAGTTACAAGCATTGAACTTACCATAGAACCACACTATGGGATTTACTGACAAATGACAGTTTAACCATTAACCCAGGGAGACTAGTCTCCATGCATTAACCTAACAATTTCAATCTCGATCTCAAATAATATTTAATTTTTTTACACGAGTTTGTATGTATTGTATAGATCTTGTATTAATCGTTATCTACATACAAATTGAAAATAATAATAGTAGTAACACTAGTGATTTTGTAAAGTAACAACTAAAAGAATAATTATACTAAGTAATTTAGAAATTTATAAAATACTAAAATGGAAGGTATTCTGAATAAGGAAACAGATCACAATAACATCCGAGCTCTAGAGCATCTCAAATATGAATTAAATTCAACTAATTCAGATGATGAACAGATGGATGACGATGAGGATTCGAAAGATGCAGTTCTAGCTATAGAAGAAATAAAAGAAGAACATCTAGGCCACGATGATAGTTTTTCAATCGGAGTTGTTGATATTAAGGCCGAAGATATATTAGATTTAGGGTCAGACATTATTTTACCTCAAGCTTCACAAAGCTTAAATTCAAGTCTTCATAGACAAAAAAAGGAGTTAAAATCCAGAAAAGAATTAGAGGAAGAAGAAAGAGAGAAAATGCAGTAAGTGTAAGCGTATTCTAAAATTAACTATTACAGTCATTGTGTTTAATAATTTTCAGAGTTCTAGTATCAAATTTTACTGAAGATCAGTTAGATAGGTATGAAATGTACAGAAGATCAGCTTTTCCAAAAGCAGCTATTAAACGTTTAATGCAGACGATTGCTGGTTGTTCGGTATCACAAAATGTTGTCATTGCAATGGCTGGCATAGCAAAAGTATTTGTTGGTGAAGTAGTAGAGGAAGGTATACCAAATACACTTCGATTATAAGTTTTTTCGCTATTTTGATTTCAATAATTAAAATATAAAGTGTTTGTATTGTTTGTATCATGTTATCAAAATGAACGATTTTAGGACTAGATGTAATGGAGGAATTAGGCGATACAGGCCCCATACAGCCAAAACATTTGAGGGAGGCCATTAGGAGGATGAGACAATATGGTGGAATTCCTAGTGGTAGAGATTATAGGTCACATTATAGACTTTAACGGGTTTTTATTAAATGGCGTACTTATTACATACTGTGTATGTTGTAAAAATGTGTTAGTGTTTTATTTCGTTTACTCCATCATAAATATTCCTGGACGAACAGAATAGTCTCCCAACATTATCGAGTAACAAAAAATGTTTTAATAATCGTTTTAAATTATTTATAGGAGTTTGAAATTTATACAGAAGAAATGTGTTTTGTCTTTGCCAGTTCAGATCCCTTTGTTGTAGTTCTGTCGAAGTAATTAATTCTTATATACAGGGTGTCGGGTAAATAATGAATAACCTTTTAACCGTGGATGGGGGACCCTAACGTCATTCAGAAAATCGACTTTTATCTTAGTACAAAGTCCCTTCGTTTTTCAGTTATTTCCCTTTTTTTCGAAATTTCCGCCATAGGTTACTTTATTGGTCACTACTGCCACAAGAAAACGTATTATCTTTCGATTGAAGGTCTGATAATGTGGCTAATTTACAAAATTTGGGTAGTAGTAGCCATTTTCCAAATTTGGTATGATTATAAAGAAATAATCAAAAGTTAGTAGCCCATGAGGATTTTAGCTATAAACCCGAGCTTTGAAGAAAGGCGATCCATTTTAGTAGTTATGTAGTATTTTTCCAGAAAAATGAACCTTCTCAATGACACTTATCTTCTGACTATCAATTAAAAGATATTCCGATCAAATCGTATTAATATGAATATTCAAAAGTTATTAAAATTCAAATTATAATAAAACTACATACTTATAATTAATCACAATATAGAATGCATAACTACAATTATTATACAGGGTGATTCAGGTTTAATCTGGATAACTTCAGGAATCGACAGAACAATTTAAAATCGTGTTCATTCATGATATAAACTTATTTCCTAAATCGCATCGACTCGGACATAGAGGGCGTTGAAATATAATTTTTTCCCCGCTTTCATAACTTTTGAACCACTCATCCGATTCAGGTGAAATTCGGAAACAAACACTCGTGATCCTTAAGTTTGAACCACCTACCACATACATCTACCCCTCTTAGAAGTGTATTTTCTGCGCTACCCCCTCCTATATTATTTCAAAACTTAACAATAAAACAGCTGCACACCACCTTTGTCTCATTAATTTTGAAACTTATTCGTCTTGTTTTTGTTTCGATATCTGGCCTTCTTTCTGAGATATTCAATATGATTTGTATAAATTGACGTATGTGAAAATCACCGTTAAAAGTATTATTTCGAAAGAATTTTTTGTCCTAAGAGAAGGGAAAAAAATTCCTGAAAAAGTATATCATAAATGAACATTATTTTAACCTGTTCTATCGATTCCTAAAGTTATCCGGATTAAACCTGAATCACCCTGTATATTGATAGTTACAAGCTTTTTAAACTTTAGATTATATAAGAGCTGTTTTCCACAGCTCCCAGCAATTTCTCACAATGAGATTTTAGCAAATCTTTTCCCCCCCAAAAAAATGTGACGGGTAAATATGATTTCATTATGAAGCTAAATGTGGAATTCACCATAAAATATGCTGTAACGCCTTTTTCTTGAACACCGCGTATGTCGGTGTCGGTACGTAAGTGAAGTAAATAGTACAATTTTGCAAGATAAATGGCCAATAACTCTGCTTATGTTTTTTTAAAGATCGATTTTTTTGGACATAATATACTTTAAACAACGCCCACAATAACAATATATAACTATGTAGTGACACTACTGGAAAATGTATTTCCAAAATGTATATTCATATATTTTTTTGTATAAATCATTGAAGTTGAAAGGTCAAAACTTTCGAGACGTATACTATAACAGAATTGGCCGGTTTGGTTTGCGTTGATTCAGATGGAACCCCAATATGGTGTATATTTATGTTTTATAATAGAGTGGGATGCAGAGGCCAACGACACAGTTATCAAAACAGAAAGCATCTTTTATCTCCCCAACAGTTATAGTCCATATTTAGAGATCATCGCATGGGTTGTCGCCCGTAAATATTCGGGCTTGCCTAGTTTGTCATCCCTGTGCAGTTATAAATATTTAAAATGTTCTTTAAGATATGTGTATTATTGTTCATATGTAAGTTAAATAAATATTTGCTTTAATTTCTTAGATAACTTTAGTCGCGATATAAATATAAATTGTATTTAGGGTGGATTTGCATTAGAACTCTTTAAAGACAGTTTTAACAACTTTAATCGACATTTCAAAAACTGTATGTAAAATACATTACGATTTAAAACTAGATATAAATGGAAAAGGTGCAAGTAAATGCTTAAGCGAAGAACGAGGGTTGAATTACTACCTATTAATTTTATTTAAGTAAAATAAGTTTTATAATAATTTTAATACAATTAACGCAGTGATTCAGTTTCTCCGACACTTCAAATAATTCATTCACTTTTTATCAGTCGGAGAAAGATTGATTTAATGCAACATGCGACCTCCAGAATCATTCTTTTAAAAAATTCAGTCCGCTATCTGGAACTATTGACCCTTGAAAGTTATCTATCAAAAAATCCAAAGTATTAACTTCAGATTTATTGACTAATCTACGCATTTCTAAGACTGAAAAAATCCTCTTTGTAACAGTAGTAATCATATTTGTTAATATGTTTAAAAACCTTGAATGGTTAATTCATTAATTTTTTATGTTCACTGATAAAACTTTTTTAATTTACAATTTTTGATAATTTACGCATTTCCATTTATTACGACATATTTTTATTTGTATGTATTTCTGTATAGTAGAAGGACTTTATCTTTATATAGACTTCAAGTAGGTGCGTAAATTTTTTTCAAACAATCTACTGCGAATGGTTATAAATTTAAAAAACTAATAAACTTATAGAAGTAGTGAGTTAATTAACAACCGGATATTTTAACTTATAAAAAACTAATAAACATTAATAAAAATAACCTTTAAACGTAACAATTTAGGTTAACAAATTATTTTCCATGTTAATGTAGCTGCATTCAGTAATCAGTAATTATCCTCTCTAGAAGTTGCACAATATTCTAAATTCATTTTTAAATAAAATATTTTTTGATCTTGGCTAGAGTTCAGTTAACTCTTGTGATTACTACGCCGATACAGAATTGTGATTATTCCTAAATATTTGCGACTAAATTGTAGATTTTGAAACATGTAAGTCATGCGAAACTGGGCAAACAAAACAAGGATGTTTAATAAGGAACCTAATGTGCGCCTGTGGATATGGTTGTGCATCCGATTACAGATACGATACTTATCAGGAATGCCAAAGCGCACTAAAAGGTAAAATACCCGTTTCTATTTTACGGCGATCTGTTTAACATCATAATTAACTTTTTAGGTAAAAAGAAAGACATTTGTAAAACTAGCAACCCATGTCTGCACAACGGTACTTGTATACAGATTTCTCAGCAACCTGGTTATAAATGCAGGTGTGAAGGGACTGGTTACTTTGGTTTACGTTGTAGCAAAGGTAAATAAGCACACATTGCTCCATGAAATCAATGAACCCCTAAAATAATTTTTGATCCATTTTCATTCTATCCCATGTCCTTGTTATTAGGCCAATTCCTAAACTTGTTCAAATGGACTGGGGTCTGGGAGTCTTGGTGGCCAGGCCACAGCACCAAATTCAAATTCCCTGTACCAAATCTGGTGCGATATTTCGTTTTATTTAAATCCTTAGTCATTGAAATTAAATCATTTATTCATAATAGTGGCGCACCTAAAATTGGGGGGTCTAGGTGGGAGGATTGGAATAAAGGCGACAGTAGTTTTGTAGAAATGTTTACTAAATTGTATGCTTTTGGTTGAAGTTATGAAAAAATGCGAGAATTAAAATAATGGAAAGATCAAATTATAAATATTTTCCGCGGTGGCTCGAAAGAAACAATGTCATTTATAAAAAATCAATAATGGAGTATACAGATCACAAAAAATGATGCACTGACAAATTGAATTGTTAGATTGCAAGTGAAATTAAATATACATAAAATTTCATATTTCAGGGGATTGCACTGGTTTTCAATTAGTTTGGATAGAATTTCTTTTTTTTTTGCTTTGAATATCTATTATTTTCAATTACGCAATATCACGTCAATTATGTCCTTATTTTTATAACTTTTAAGTCGACTTAAAAGTAATGTATACAGGGTGTCCGGAAATTAATGCAACAAAATTTGGTCATAGAGTCTTAAGACAAATTTAAATTAAATTTAAATTTTTTCTTTTTGCCAAGTGGCCCCCTCTTTCGGAGTTACAGCCCCCTGAAATCTACCCCTAAGAATAGTCTTTTTATATCTCAGGTTGTACAAGAATCATTAAATTTGGTTTGCTGCGCTTTTTGGCGGAGAACTCCCTTAAGACACTTTTCGTGGGCCCCCCTGTCTTTGGAACCAAAAAAATTTGGTCACACATTTGAATTTCTTAAAAATTATTAGTTAGCTAGAAATTGAGAAACTATTGTCTCGATATTTTTTCGTAAAACGCAATGTTTTTGAAGAAAATGGCAAATCACGTAATGCATTCAATCACATTTTTGAAAACATTGCGTTTTACGAAAAAAGTATCAAGACAAAAAAATTTATAAATTTAATGGTTTTATGGCGGACTAATAATTTTTAAGAAATTTAAATACGAGACCAAATTTTTTTGGCTCTAAAGACAAGGGGGCCCTCGAAAAATTGTCTTAAAGGGGTTCCCCGCCAAAAAGCGTAGCATCATCAGATTCCACGTCATAAAACCCCTGTCTACCAAATTTAGTGATTCTCGTACAACACGGTTCTGATATAAAAAAATATTATTCTTAAGGGCAGATTTCAGGGGGCTGTAACTCCAAAAGAGGGGCCCACTTGGCAAAAATAAATAAAAAATATGGGTCCCCTAAATTTGTCTTAAGAATCTGTGACCAATTGCGTTGCATTATTTTCGGGATAATAATGTAATAATGTACATGTTCAGTCATATAAACTACCACAAAGAACGTTTTTATCATACAAGGAAATGATTATTAAAAACGTCAATAAAACCTATCTGTTTATATTAGATCTTTTTTAAATCAATCAAGAGGTTATCTAAAGCGATATATTCTATACATTTATGTTGATACAGTTATCTGCATTACGAAAAGGACAAAAACACCATAATTTTGACAATAAAACATTTATTGCATATTTTATAAATAAAGCTAAATATTATTGCTTTCAAAAATCATATTACACTTCGGGAAAAATTAAACTTAGTATTTACTAAAAAAATGTATTGTTAGAAATATTCCCATGTTAAAATTAAGTTACAAAAATTAAAATTTCTTTCTGTTTATTATCAATATTAAGCTTGCTCCATGCTTTTCTCAAAAGGTATTTTGAAATCTGTAAAAATGTCTACGAAAGCACTTTTTGGATAAATTCTGAGCTGAACAGAGTCCCTAGTTTTATTTATTAGCCCTAATCTAATAATTATTTTAGTTTTTGATTAATGTGTAATTTTTTTCAGACTGAATCAACTTCACCAAATTAAATAGGCACTTACCTGAATTATTTTCATTTGTGTTATACAGGGTCGTCCTTAAAAAGTGTGCCAACTCTTATGGTTGACATGGGAATCGAATAATATTCTGCAAATTAGTGTAAAAGCCCCCCAAGTCTAAGTTTAAAATATGAGTAAAGATATCTGAACATCGCTGATGAATTATCAAAAAAAAATTAAATAAAAAAAAACGTTTTTTGAAGGTTTATAACTTTTGAGCAAGTTCTACTATGTTAACTTGATCTTTAATCATTTTATTTTCTCCCAAAGCTAACTCCTGCAGCATGTTACACTCTTTACTAGACATCCTGTATATAAGAATTTCTGATCTTTTTTTTTTGTAGCGTGTCCTGTCCCTGGTGGTGGAAGAATAGGTTCTGCCGTATTTCCATACGAATGCATAGTGATATGAAGCTGGACCGCCGATCCCATTTCATTTACAAATTTTATCTCGTTCATTAAGTTTATAAATAAAACGATTAATTTAATAGTATTTCCTTATATATTTATTTCCTTTGAAATTAAAACAATTTACAAATAGAAGATAATCCACATTTAATTATACTGTAGTATTTTCAAAAACTGCATCACAGTACCCACATCAACATAATTATAAAAAAATATACATAAAACATATAATAAAAAAAAATTCATATTGCCTAATGAGATTAAAACGTAGAGTCAAAATGTTTCATTCGGCGTATTTTGTTTCAAATTGCTGCAGAAAATAAAATCGTTTTGTTAAGCCGACCGGAATGTCCAGAAATTCATGGTAATAATAAGAAATTCGGACTTTTAACTTTAAAAATATATAAATTTCAGTAAAATTTTGAAGGTCATATCAACTGGTTCCTTCCATATAAAAAATTATTGGTTTGACATTGTCGCTTAAAAACTAAAAGGATTTAAGTTTTAAAAAATGGCACAAAATTGTTACTTCGACTTCTTACGAGGACTACGATCCCTCTATAGTCACGACCGATTTATCATCAGAGTAGTTATATTACCCAATTCGAATTATTTATTTTAAATTACTCAAAATTCCCTTTTCTGGTGACATAAAGTGGAGCTAAACCTTAATGAAAGAATATTAATGTATATTGTATAATTTTCCAATTGCGATCGTTTAAAAATTGTGCGTCAGGAGAGTGAATCATCATTTCCAAACCACACAAAGTTATCCCTAATAGAAACAATAGTATTAGATCAGGAACGGAAAAAAAAATTCGACATCAATTTTCTATTACGGATACGAGCTGGTGCGGGTACTGGCCGACTGCAAACTAACATTACACCTAAATGGAGACTAAAAAAATTATAAAAGGTCTTATAATGTACAGTTTACTTAAGGATGCAGTCTTCTCTAGATCATATTCTAATACCTTAACTCTGTATCCTAATAATAAATTCATTGTATTCATATTTGTCAATGGATTATCATTTTTTTTTTTTCATTTTTTTGGTTTTCAAGCAGTGTTTATTTTGTTTACTTTTCTTAAGCACAGCATAACTTTGCTTTGTTCAAAATTCAACATGTATATAAACATTACTACAACTATTGTGTATACAATAACCAAAAAGATTCCTTGCCCTAGTTTAGATTTTTGCAAAATTGTTCCGGGAATACACTAGGCAGCGACGGCAAAAGACTAAATAAATATGAAATTCACTAAATCATTTAGGACCATTCAAAATTTCATATCGATTTGTTGCAAAATACCGAAAAAGCGAACAGAGCACGGGAAAAGTTGATTTAATTAAAAGTTACGGGACACTACCATTTACGTTACAGCACAGACAAAATAAAACACTGACAGAATTCAATCATCAGCTATTCTTTTATTTGACAAAACCTAGTAAACTTGACATTTCAAATTGGCTTAATTTTGTTGATTAATTTTCACCTAACTGACCTTCCTCTAATAGACTTATTTGTCGTCGCTATTTCCGCCTAGAACCAAATTCTTTTTTTTTTTTTAATATTGTTCTTACGGATCTTAATTAAGACTTAGTTTATAAATACAGTATATAATTCCAACTCCATTGCTAAGACAAGAGTAAGTTAGTTGCTACAGTTTTGTAAATGACATGAATGAAAATGACTTAAATCAATGACTATTCAGATTATTCGGGCACGGCACCAGCCAATCGCTGGGTACGTGCTTCGGGTGAGAATCCCTTTGAGCCGTCGGGCCCCTTTGGTTGGCGTACAAGTATCAATTTAGGTCCTGTATCATCTACGGAGATGGTACGCAGTCTACTTATTAGTCTTTCTGGTCTCGCCTGTACATCACTGAAAAATCACTCACTGTATTTTTTTTTCAAATCGTACAGCTATCAGAAGGCTGTTTGGGATCGATTATGGAACAGAGACATGGCGACAAACTTTCAAGGCTGATTGTCCTCGCAAAATAAATAAAAAAAAACGAGAGTAACAATTCCTAAGGAGTTGAAATTACTCAAGAACTGTCGAAGGTATAAATTTCAAACTTGGTATAGTTTAATTCCTTCATAGTCGCTATCCTCGTGTAAAACTGGAACAAAACGTAGCCGGTGGTATTGGAATCAGAAATAGTTTAAGGCAGTGGTCGGCAACTGGCGGACCGCGGTCCAGATCTGGACCACGGAAGGTAAAAAACTGGAATGCCAAAAATGTTTTGAAAGTATAATTACTCAAAATATTTAAAAAAATATTTTTCTGTTGAAACAATACGTCTGAGTGCCACCCTTATCATTTTTTAATGGTTAGTCGGTTAGTAAAAAAAACTGACTAATGACTGCAAATGTAATTTCTCCCATTGATTTTCGAATACAAAAATTGCCTTTTGGAGTATTTTGTGAGTGCAAATTAAAATAAAAAATTAGTAAGGAATACCTACGAGTTTTTTTCTGGATCTCGTTGAAAATTTTCAAAAGTATCTGGACTCCACCTAAAATTACTTGCCGACCCCTGGTCTAAGGAGTTTCTACCCAAAAAAAAAATATATTTGAAGAATCGTTGTTTTAAAAACTTTTCCATTGTTATTCCCAAGTTTGAGGTTAATGTCTTTAACGGTTCATAAGTCAATAATCAACTGTGTTTCTCGTTTAATCTGAAAAGTCGTAGAGCCCTATGGAGTCGTTCTAGGAAAAAACGCTCTAATTTTTCCGTTTGTTCTGAATCACCCCTAAAAGTTTGTCGCAACATTGCTGTAACTTCCCGTATTTAATTGTCAGTGTTGCGAGAAACAACTACTCCGAGGGCTAATATGCCCCTACCGGCATTGAATTCTACTCGCAACACCTAGTGCAACAGCTAGGATCGTTCGTCTGTTTAACCCACCAGGCACAGACCTGTTTCAGACTTATTAGTCCTCATCATTGTGTCATAGGTGAGACAACCGACGAACAAACCAGCTGTTTTGCGTCGTATAATTTCAAACAAATAGGTACCTTTTCAAATATAGTCCAAAAAAGTCCCGTTACCAAAATTTCTGTGACACAGAATGTGTCACTTAATATTCTCAATAGCACTTCTTTAGAATTTAATTGCGCAAAAAATGTTTGACCTTAGCAACTAATCGGGTGTAATTAAATTTTGGAAATTTTTTGCTTATTCGCAAAATCAACTGTGTTGAATATCTTTGCAATTTAGTTTATCGTTTTTTGAAATAATAAAGCTCTATTAACTTTTTTTAGTACAAGTTTTGTTAAAGATTCTTTTTTAACAGTTAGAAATGCTATTGGAGAGCATCAACCAAATCGTCGTGTATTTTCCGATTTAAGTGGGCTCTATAGCAAATAGGCAACCAACATTACATTTTTATAGATTTTAATACACAGTTTGTCTAAATATGAATCAATGCACAAATAACAGACTTTCCCCCACTCTAACGCAGTTTTTCTATAAAACAGAGTTAGTTTGAAACTCAAATTACTTTCTGTTGTAAAGAAATTTGTAATTTGCCGCTTTTGAACGAATAAATTTCAAATTTCTTTACACCAAAAAATAATTTGAGTTTCAAACCAAGTCCATTTTATAGAAAATCTGCGTTAAAATGGGGGAAAGTCTGTTATTTGTGCATTAATTCATATTTAGACAAACTGTGTAACAAAATCTATAAAAACGTATTGCTGGTTGCCTATTTGCTATGGAGCCCCCTTAACAGAAATTAATTCAATATTGTCTTTTTAAATAATTCCTTATGAATTGTTGTATTTTATAAAATACAATTTTAAACAATTTTTCACTGTAAATGCATGAACGTTATCTTCTCGATTAATAAAAAAAAAAAAAACAGACGACCCGATTCCAAATTAAAAATGCATCACTTACCTGACTTTAACAACATTGCATGCAGAAGATTTGCCGCTCCTGTGATTAGTCACGAGCACGAATTCAACGGTGTCGCCCACCTGCAAGCTGACGTTATCCTTCACTTCCGTCATGTGGAAAAACAGCTTCTTCCCCTCCTCTACCTCGTACGCCAAGAACCCGAAATGTCCCTTTATCGCGTCCACGGCGGCCCTCAGTTTCTTCCTCACAGCCACGATATTGGCGGCCCTACCAGTGGCGTCTACCTGCAGCTGGACGTGATCACCGACTTGCAACAGTTCCCGTTTGTTGACGAGTCCCATGATCCCAAACTCGTACTCGACGGGCTTGTCTTCTGGATTATCGCTCTTTATCTTGATCAGCCCTGAATACTCGGTCTGGTCAGGATTGACGGATCTAAGGGGGCGCACCACGGTACCTTCCAGTATGTCCCCGTTCACCTCGGGAAGCGTTATGGTTCCCTTCGGTATTACTTTGACGTTTTCGGCCGACGAGCAGGATCCGGAATTGCCCCTGCTCCCCAGGTTGTATTCTACTTCCTGGCCTAGCTCGAGACTGGCGGCTTCGCCCTCGAAGTTGCTAAAAATAAAGGAAGGTGAAATGCGTTTCTACGTTCGTTGTCGGGTTACGTACCTAAAGTGAAAGAAAACTTCCTTGTCGTGTTGGATGGTCTCTATAAATCCGAACCCGTCCTTTAACGCGGCTATGAATCCTTGATAAACCTGGCTGTTGTTCCTTGAAATGCTGTGTTTAATACCGTTAGTTTGAGACGCCGATTGCAGTATTTGTATGTCGACAGCTATGTACTCTTTGTTTCGCTTTACTTGGTTTATATTAAACTGAATCTAAAAAGAAAAAAAAAAACAATAACTAAACGGTGCTTCCTCAAATTAAAACCTATAAAGAATATTCAGTCAAGAATAATATGTTCTTTTTAGAACTTCAGAATATACGCAAACATTTAAATATACAGGGTGTTAAAAAAAAAGTGTCGTAAATTCAAGGACTGACATAAACATCCAAACAAAAAAAGTAAAAAGGGTAAAGATACAAAACAACAATGACGTTTTTTTTTTAATCAAATGTTGGTCAAATCTTTTATAAAAAATAATGTATTATACTGAAATTTTCAAAAAAATAAGGGAAATCAACCACCAAAGATACGTCATTGCCCACCAGGACACGGCGAAGTCTCACACTTTTTGATGAATCATCCGACATACAACCCAGATTTGGCACCCAATGACTTTTTTTATTCCCGCATATTACAAATAAATTACAAGGTTTTTCGACGCCTGAGGAAGCGGTTGATGTGTTCAAATTACATGTATCTCAATCGGAAGGGAAAATTGGTTCAAGCGCATGCAAAAATGTTTAGACATTCATGGAGACTATTTTGAAACACAATAAAGTAATATTTGATGAATAATTTCTTTTTTTAATATCTATTTTTTAATTTTATTTCTTTGCCGTGTTCGAAAAAATTTTTGTGTGTACTTACTTTATCACCCAATCTTGGATAATGCTTCAAGTCGCAATCTTTGGAATAGAACGGAATGGTTTTCTTAATCCCATTGACGGTATAACCGATGAGCCCCGATTCGCTGCCGGGCTCACCGTTGAAGCTGTTCTGGTTCTTGGCCGGACTGCGGTTGGACCAGTTGCTCGGCGGGATATCCTTGGTGACCATTCCAGTAACGTCGTTTTCTACCCTAACCTCGAACTGAACAGTACCCGGCGGTAACCATTTCATCCTAATGGCACTTTGTCGATTATTTGAGAACATGCTCGAACTCGTTTGATCCTGAGCAACAGTGAACTCAAACTCGTCACCTGTTTGTATTTCATTCGTACGGTCAACGTCTAATATCTCATTGAAGTGGAAAAACAACCTTGCCTCCCTCTCGACACACTTCAAGAAACCAAATCCCTCCTTGATGGAGGCCACCACTCCCTGCTCCCGTTTCTCGCCCGACACCCTAAAGCTCTCGTCTAGAAGGAGGATGTGGGTGGCGCGGTCCAAGGCGTCCCGCCTGTCGGTAGCGATTTGGAACTGCACCCAATCGCCGTGCCGCAGAGTGAAATCCCCCATCTGGTCTTTTTCGCTGAACGAAATTTCTACTTCCGAGTGATCGGGGGCCCTGTATCTTATGCGTCCGGGAAGGGCGTCGTTTGGATTCCTTGGACCTCGGTCGATTGGTTTCAAAACTTGGCCTTTTAGGATTTCGGGCTTTAGATCTTCGAATATGACTGTTCCCGGCGGGAGTCGTGTAATATTGCAGGCAACTTCTTTGCCCTGCAATTAATGGAAATAAATTCAATGACGGAAAAGTTTAAGCAAGTTTTAAAAATCTACTTGACAAAATTTTTGTTTTTAAATTTAAAAAGATAATAGTAGACGAATTCATGACAGAAATAAAAGTTTCACAGTGAAACGTCACAAATAAATCCTTACGTTTCGGGTTTGAATAATATATTCAACGTCGTCTCCTAATCTCAGTTCTTCTTTGGTTTTGGCTTCTGAAAAGTGGAAGAAAATCTCTTTGACAACATCGGCCCTTTCTATGAATCCGAAGCTTTCCTTCATCGAACAGACAACACCTTGATATTTGACCGGATGAGCAGGGTTTTCAAGACGCACATGGCAAGCACCAAGATTACCACTAAAAACCACACACTGCTTTACAATACGTTAAATTTAGTTAACGGACATTCATTTTTATATGCGAAGAGATATAATTCCTTACCGATTATTAGTTGCAATTTGGAAACTGACTTTGTCTCCAGATCTTAGCGTGACATTCCCTTCGACGTCGTCTTTGGTGTAAGGCAGAAAGAAGCACTCCCCTCTGTTCTCGTAACTAATTCTGCCGGTCGTGTCGCCACCTGAACCCTCAGAGGCTTTCACTTCAGTCGTGACTGTGCCGGTTACCCTCTCCTCGCTCATAACCTAAAAATAATTATTAGAAGGTGATACCTATTAATTTCGCGCTGTGTTACTTACAACTTCCGGTGCAATTTTAGTAACGGCGCTAGCGATGGGTTTGCCAGTACGTCGGTCGTAAGTCATTTCGAATTCTACCGGGTCTCCAATTTTCAAGTGTTCGATATTCCCACTGAATTGACTGAAGTGAAAAAAAAGGCGCGCCTGCCTTTCACAGCATTGAATGAACCCATACGAGTGCTACAACAGAATTTTCTCAATATTTACTTAAATTTGTAGAAAATATTCAGTGTTTTTCAAGTTCGTTTTCCTTTCAACAAAATAAGCATATTTTTTCAAAATTTTAGAAGAGCTGGTGGAAAATCTTACAAATATTGAATTATTTCATTAAAAGCTTGCAAATCCAACAAAAAATGGAAGAATTCATAGAATCGTGTCATTGTTTTTTATTTTTTTGTTGATATTTCATTCAAGTTGGTAGTGATTTCAGTTTTCATGAATATTTATAGACATTATGGACCATTTTACTAAAAAAATTACTTGTAAGGATCAATTGACATTTATAACAAAAATTAACTGCAAATATTAACATTTCCATGAGGAAATAAAAGAAAAGCTGTAATGAAAAAGTATTCTTTTCATTCTATATCCGATATCCTCACAATAAACGACCTTATCTTGGCCACCGCATACTATCGAAGAATATATATGGCATATAATCCTTACCAAAAGTTTCTCGATAATTCCAGTCTCCCTCGTCCCCAAGTTAGACGAATTAGAAGAGTCGTTATTGTAACTGCTACTGGTGTTACCGTTGGAAAAGACGCTGTTGTTCAATGAGTTGTCCCCACTGCTGTTGTACACGTTATTGGAATCTATGGAGAACGTCCCGATGGGGAAACGTGGCGACGTGTGTGTGGTGCTTGAGGATGCGTACAGGCCGTTACTGTAAGGCAGCGACTTTTCCTGTAACATGGGAAAATCCCCGAACCGAGAACTCGAAGTTGAACGACTAAAATTAAATGCTTGAGATGGTTTGCCTGTGGGGAAACGTCCAATGTTAGAAACAAAAAATACTTAAAAAACGGAAACGACATAAAATAAAAGTTACGTTCTAAACATTTATAGTATACACATATTTACTCTACCAACATATTTGCCATGAATAACAAATTGCCGCTCGCTCTCTCGTATGAATCTTTGAGTTCTGGACCAATCCTTATCATTAGAATTGGGGGTGGTAATATTATTACATTTTGATCTGCACCCCAAAATTCTAACAGGACTTAAAGGTTAAGATGTTTTTTTTTGTCAATTTGAATGACTACAAATTAAGGTGCAAAGGTCAAATATTTTGGCAGGGCAAAGTACAGTTATACAAGGTGTTAGAAGTTTGACTGCCTTAATTTTAATAGATGATAGAATACATTAAAATAAATAAAAAAAACCTTTGATAAAATTCATATCGAGCAATGTGACAACAGCGCGGCGGATAACATGAGGAACTAAGCTGTTCATCAATATGCAATTCAGTTGGAATCTGGAATTGGACCGTGTCTGAGTGTTTTCTGTATACCACTATTTCCGTTGCTTGAGCTGTTTTCCAGCAAGTGCGCGAAAATTGGACTCGAAGTTGTCGTGCGTGCATCGAAAATGGTGGTGGACATTTTGAGCATATGTTGTACTTGTGCGTTTAAAAATTACTGAATATTGTTTTTTGGTAAGTACCTAAATTATTTTTAATACGTATGATTATTTGGATGACGTGAATTTTTTGGTACTTTAATTACATATTTTTCAAATTCATAATTTGATTAACTGTTTTAAGAGATTCGTAATTACTAAAATTCGAGCTAAAATTTAAGCACAGCACTACCTTCGTACTACAAAAATGATACATTTTATTTTATTTATTTAAAAACTGGAAAACAATTGTCTTGAAATTTACTAAATGTCTGACAACAGTTGTTTACATTTTTTCCATAGGACAAGTCTGACATGTGCACACGTGGTACTGCTTCAGCTGAAACTCCCCAATATTAATATACTCACTGTATTTTGAAAACTGTTAATTTTATGCCCCTGTAATATACAACTTTTTTGTTCATTTATTATTACTCTATGCCATGCTGAAGTAATGGCAGTCAATGTTCTTACACCCTGTATATGTTCACCACATCAAATATTTTCTAGGAAAAATGTATCAAAAAGCATAAATTTATGAAAATTATTGAATTGAATTAATACAATTTTTAATTAAACCAATGTTTGGATCCAAAAAATAATTCATAATTAACCTCTTAACTGGCACATAAAATATTGTATTATTATTATTGAGCATTTTGACCCATTTATTTTTATTAAAAAAGTAACTTTTATTGCAATACTAATAGACAAGTTATACAGTGTGTACCAAAAATAAATGCCAATATTTTAACGAAGTATTTTAACTCATCAAAAACAACAATTTATATTTAATAATTTTGTTCAGTATGTAACCGATTGATTTTTACTTTTAACAAATAAAAAATAGATAACAAACAGCACTATAGACACAGAATATTTTAAGTCAGACTGCGAATATATTCCCCATAATCGTTTTAAGAGTTTAAATAAATACATATGCTCATTTACAAAACACAAATATAGAATTTGGCAAATATGTTTTCATAATAAAATGTTTTTAAAGAGCAACCACATTATGGAATATTAACAATATAATCAACACAAAGATAACAAACATGATACTGTAAACAAATGCCTACATATTTTTGCCAAATAAACAAAGATTCTTTTAAAAACTTTATACAGAGTGTCCAGAACTATAAGCAAACAATTTTAAAGTGTCATACTGACTTGCACCACTATCTTTATAAGTAAAATCGATAATACAAATTGTATCATAATCAGAAATACTCCTTTAAGGTTTTTCTCATAGTTCCCGGACACCACGTATAAAAGATGTATTTAACGTACACCACACTATGCAATGTTTTTGACTTAAATAAGAATTAGAACATAATTTGTAGTCACTATTTCAATGAGAATAAAGTATTAAATCTAATGTTCTGATATTAGTAGCACAATCTTTTAGTTACAGGTTCTACAAAGAGACCAGAACAGAACGAGAAGATATATTTATTTAAATTTAAGTAAAACTAACCATTTTAAAAAACTAAAAAATACCAATGTTATGTGATTACTGTTGGTTTGAATTTTACCGAGTAATTTTTTGCAACACAATAAAACAAAATATATAATTCGGAGTATAAAATAGGAGGGGGAAACCACAGTAGTTATTTAGTTTACAAGCTACAAGCTTGAGTAATGAAGGCTTTAGTAATATTTGGGTATTAAAAAAATTATTGGTCACCTTGGTCTCTTTCTATTATTTCAGTAAATAAGTATTTGCGCATCAGCGGCTTGCCCCTCATAAGATATACGAGTATACCTCCTAAACAATCACAATATCCACTGTTAATTTTTAATGAAAAATTGCTTTATATTATGACAAATTGCTATAAGCAATAAGATAGTATGAAGAAAAAAAAATCATAACATTAGAACTATGTACAGTGCCTCCTATTTTCAATGTCATAGAAAGGGTATCTTGATTATTAGTAAAAAAAGAATTTTGCAATTTTCAGTTGTTATTTGAAGGAATCTTAAGGTCAAGGCAGATTTTCTTCGTTTCAATATATTTAGACGCAAGGACCNAGTAATTTTTCAAGAAAGCAATGTAAAGAAAAATCATTACAAGAGATACTGTTTTGTGGTATGTATGCTAGATATCATCGTATATATATATATGTGTGTTTGGTGGTATTTTGTACAAAAAAGAGCAAAACGATCAACATTAGGTTTGTTTCTTCAGCAGTTGAGGATTGATTTGAAACTATCAGAGATATTTACCAATTGGTTCGTGACCTTATCAGTACGTCTGATAGTTGATGATATGTATCCATGATAAAACATTTCAGGAAATTGAGTAAAAACATCCATAATAGAACATGTTAACATTTCAGAAAATGTTCAATTGTAGCCACCATGGAAGTCATCAAAAACATGCAAATGTTACATTTTTTCTGTAACTGAAAAAATGTCGAGTCTGCTTTGATCTAAAGATATTCATCAAAAAGTGGCCAATGTTTGATAAATTTGCAACATTCTATATTTAATGAAAATTCGTAACATGATCAAAAACGGAGTGCACTATAGCTATGTCACAACAGCAAGTAATCATAGCACTGCATATTACTTTATAAAGGACCATGACTACTAGTCATCTTAATAATGAAACATGAGACCAATAACGTTTGTTAGGGGATGATTTCTAAACTAACACAGACAACATTCATGTTGAAAATTCTACTCATTAAAAAATCAAAATCGGGCCGTTTGAGTCTAAGGTCAAACATGGTTGCAACTATACATTCGCCAAGTACATTTCTTTTTTTTATAATAAAATGATAAGACACAATTAAGTGTTTTCCTATTATACACAAAACTTTCATTTTTCTTAATGTTACAGCATTACACAGTTTGAAAAATACTCTTTAATTAAAATTTAAATACGTACAATGAAGAAAATTTAATTTTATAAAATGCTTGTATCTGATTGTTGATTTAGAAAAACAGGTTTTGCATATGGATATACGTGTAAGCAACCATTTTGGAGATCGCTCGGCTATACCTACTTTAATTTTTACCACCAAAGTTTTTTAAAATGGGCCTACAACTCACTATTTAAAAAACGGTATGGGTCTCACGCTTTCACCAACTGTCACTGAGTCCAACAAAAAAATCTCTTAGAGAGTATATCCCCATTTACATAAGTACTTCTGAGTTACTAAAATCGTTACATGAGTAAAATAAAGGAACATACTAAATATAATCCAATGTTAATATGGTTTTCTAAAAATAACATCTTCGTTTTCTTCTCTTTCTATTTATTTAATTAAAGTTGACAAGTATTTTGAAGAAAAAAGTAGTAACTGAACTCATTTAAACTGAGACTTATAACTTATTAAAATAATTAAAAAAAAACTGACTAATCTTTATATATCCTGATCCTAATTATACAGATCTTTCATAAATGTTTACAAGCCACAATTTTGTTTGAAACAGTAACTTTATTTCTTTCACATTTGAAATTAAATATTATTAAAACGACAAGAACAAGACTACATTGAAATACAATATTCTGCTTCACCGGCTGGTGGTTGGTGTCATTTTTCAAAGCATTTGATTCGACCAGTCAGCGATCGCATTACCTCGAGTGTAGACGTAACAGTTTGTCATTGTTAATTGTAAACGAATCATTAATATTGGCGACGGTAATATTTAGGCATTTTTTAGTCGGCAGTGCCAATCGTGCAATGTTGGCTGCCTAAGCGCGGCAGTCACGCGGCTCGTAATCATTTATGAAGGCTGTGAATATACAAATACTTAAATAGGAATTTAGCCTTACCGGTACTAGTCATAGGTTTGAAATCCATGATGTTGGAGTCTTGATTGAGAGTGTCGGGGGGCGGCTGGAAAGTCTTCCACTGAGGATTCGTGGACATATTTTACTTTCAATACTATGATTTAGCTTCTTCGCACTTCTTATCGTTTCTTAAGTGTAGTGAATATCACAGAATGGTTAACCGGTATTTCTTGTTTTAGCAAATACCCCGCAAAGTCAATATGGCAGCCGATACCAGGCAATTAATAAAAAATGACTCACTTTGAAAATTATTCAATTCACAATATACAATATTCAATTATCATCAACAAGTTCACAATACTCAATATATAGAAAAAAACAATCCAATAGTACAAAAAATTACAATCCACAGTCACTCAAAATTTGTATGAAACATATGAAAAATTAAATAATAAGAAATCCTCAGATGTCTTCAATGCGTGCTGGGTGCGTATTGTGCTGTAATGCTCATAATTTTTTGTCAAGGCCAGTGGTTGCGCAAGATACTGGTTACTTCGAATTTTCTATGCTAAATTTTGAGGTTCTTAGTTACACAAGCTGAAAAAGAAAATTAATATTATTTTCTTTATTTACTTTATATCAAGGTTTCTATGCATTATTTTTTTACATGTCTTGGATATAATGGTAATTTATTAAATAAATTGTACAGTTTTGCTTTAAAACCGAGAAAATTCATTTTTTTTTTTAAATACTTGTCGGCATTACCTTTGTAACCGCTTATGAATTCGTAGCCATTCGAAGAACTGTCGTCGATGGAATGTTGAGGACTTGTTTTTGTTTATGTTACAGAAATATTAGAGTACCAAATTGTTATCTCTTCAGGGTTAAGTTTTAGTCTGTGTGTGAAAGACCATCATTATCTAACTTTTGTAAACACTTCCTTATATGGTTATGTTTGGTAAAAAGTAAACTGATAGGGTAAAGGAATGCACTGGGCACCACCCCTGTGAACGGAACAAAACTGAAAGCCCGGAAAGCAATTCGATTGATGAAACAACCATAGCCGTGTGGCTTTTATTATTATTATTATTGTTATTATTGTTTTGATAGAAAAGTAGTGAACAGGTTGCTAGGGCTGACAGTGGTGGACCGTTAGTTCCTATTTTATGACTTGTATAACAGCTCCCGTATTTGTAATAAATAGTGTCACGTCACCCGTGTATTATTTCGATGGAGACAACGGAGTAAACTAATTCCCATGTCCACCAAGTGTCTCCGACATACTTATACAGAGATATTTGGATCTGCAGAGAATTTCTTTATCGATGGGGGCATTAAATCAGAAATAAATAAAGGACTGAAAAGTTGTGATATTCGAGTTCCCAGTTCACACAGATTTGGTTAATTTACCGAAATTAAGAAAATGTCGAATGGCATAGTAGCATATAGTTTTAAATCTGCAAGTTGAGATAATATACCATCAATTCGATTCAAAACGAGCAGTTAGCCCCGTTTCATTTACCTGATTCTTGGGTATGTTGCCCAACCATAAACTTAAGTAAATAAGTTTTTAAGTTTAGGTCATAAAATACCAAAAAAAAAAAAACAATAATGTGCTGCAAATAAATACTTTCAGATAAATATTATTCTATCAAATATTTTTAAAGGATGTGGAAAATATATGATTTTGGGAGTCTATCTTGGCTACATATTTTAAGACATCTTTTAAAATACAATTCTCATTTTTCAACTCTCATAAAGTCTGATCCAAATTTCTTTAAAAATCATTACTATTTTGGCACATTTTATTGTGAAATATCAATATAGAATATGAATAATTTTTTTGAGGAAATCGTAACTACCGAAATTATATTTAGCTTTAGCTAGTTTTAACATTTCAGTGACGGTTTACGAAAATTAAAGATGTCATGTTTTGAACAGGAAGCGTGAGACTTAAATCGTTTCTTAAGGGATGATTTCTAGGTCCACATAGACAACTTCCGTCATTGAAAACTTGACAGATACAAACAAGCGTTTTCTTATTCTACAAAATATTTTCATTTGTCATAAAGTTACAGCATTACGAAATTTGAAAAAGGAATAATGTCAAATTAAAATTTAAACAGTTATCACTACGAAGAAAACTTAATACTGCAAATATATACGAAACCTCCATTTTAATGTCTCGTTATGCAGATTTCATTCAAATTTTGTTCATCGTGATAGTTCCCTATATGGCCCTAGAAATAATTCCTTTAAAAAGAGAAATATTTAATATATCATCTTTGATCATGCAAAAGGGCTTAAGCACCAAAGTACTATTTGAGTAATTTTTCAAGAAAGCAATGTAAAGAAAAATCATTACAAGAGATACTGTTTTGTGGTATGTATGCTAGATATCATCGTACTAATAATGTACCAATGTAGGTAAATATAGGTATATGTTTTCATTATCCTAAGGGCTTAATTAACGATTTTGTTCAATATTTGTTTTTTGTAGCTTACGCCCATTTGCAATTATGATAATGCTGTGACAAGTTAAAGGATTTTGCGATACTTTACTAGCAGTACGACTAAATTTTTCAATTTTTATCCACACAATAAATTTTTCCAATAAATGTAATGATTATATCTGAGATTTTGAATAAATATGTGTCACAATTACATATTAAAAAAAAAAAACAAAAAAGACTTTTTTAGAAATATCTTGAGCAGCTTAGTACTACATTCGATGCATTTGAAGATTCTTAATAAGGCATTTGAATTCTATTTGTATATATTCCTGGGTTAGGTGTAGTTATTAACTATAATTAAGCAATGCCAAATTTAACGTGTATATGTTTCAATGCATCTCTGTCTTGAACAGTAATTTTATAATGATTTATAGATGTGATCCATTAATGGGAGACAGAATACGTGTTTAATTAAGTTTTCAATGAAAAAGCTTTCAGAATTACTGTTGACAAGAAAATCAATTAAATCATCATTTTTCAATGTACCACAGAACCAAATGGAAATTTTGGTGTGTTTAAAACACCTGTATTAGTCCAGAAAATAATAAGATAATAAACTCGGAACCTCTTAACAGAAATAGATCCTAAATTAGAAACATGTGCATTTGGGGCAAGGGGTAAAACAACGGTCATATTATCGATTTACTTAAGACAATATAATTATGAATCGTTAGTTTTCTTAGAAATATATATTCTTTTACTACATCTATATTAAAAAATGAATTATTGTAATGGAATATTTTCTGTAAACTAAGCGTATACTGCGTAGATCCAGCGGCACAAAAGATGTATATGAGGGTTAAACTTGTATAGTTTTGTATATAATGCTAGTTTATTATCGTATTCTATCAATTACTAACTTTAAAAACAGTAAAAACATAATAAAGGAAAGTTTTACGTACTTTTGAATGAAAATTTGATGTTATTTTTACGAAAATTTGAGAAAATTTCAACTCACCACGACACAGCACAGCACTGACGACATGCCGCCATGTTGAATGTCAACATGCTCGAGAAAAACAAAAACCAACCAAAAAAAAGATGTTCCCATTGGCCACAAAGTAAATTTGCGATATGTTAACGTCAAAAATTTCTGAAAATTGAAATTATGAGCAGTTATTTGTGTTATGAGGATAAGGAATTTGGCGGTTGAAAGTTTGAATTTATTAAATAAAAATGACTCTAATTTTCACATTTGTACAAATAACCTGAAGTTGCACGAACTCACGAAGCTATTTTTAATTTTGATTCAGTACCTACAAGTTTTTTTTGTGATACTGATAGTTTTTTATTTCATTTTTAACTTACTTTTCTCCAATTATGGAGGCAATATTCCATGAAAAGGTTATCAAGTTTACATATGAAATATAAAAATCTTAACATAATTTTTATTTACAGCAAGAAGGCTCTCTCTGTGCTCAACACTGTCTGAATTCCCTTTTGCAAGGACCTTACTTTACTGCCGTAGATTTAAGTACATTAGCTCAAAAATTGGATGAAGAAGAGAGACAACGAATGGCAGAATGTGGTGAGGAAAGCGAGGAATATCAGAAATTTTTACAACAACCATCGGGTAATATGGACGACAGTGGATATTTCTCTGTACAAGTTATTAGCAGTGCCCTGCAAGTATGGGGTTTGGAATTAGTGCCTTACAGTAGTACAGATGAACGAATTAATATGAATGAACCAAGTAAAATGAAAGCTTTTATATGCAATTATAAAGACCATTGGTTTACGATAAGAAAAATAGGTAACCAGTGGTTTAATCTAAACTCCTTATTAACTAAACCAGAATTAATTTCGGACACATACTTAACCTTATTTTTGGCACAACTGAAAAATGAGGGTTATTCAATATTCGTTGTGTTTGGAGATTTTCCGGAATGTAGTGCAGACGAAGTTCTTAAAAATAATCCTGTTATGCCGACTCTGAGACAATCGCTGCGATCAGTCGTGTCTAACGAGAATGATCCCGACATACAAGCAGCTCTTCAGTTAAGCCTGAGAGAGGAACAAAGTTGTTACACACCAGAAACAGAGGATCAAGAATTACAAGAGGCGCTTAGATTAAGTTTACAGAATTTTAATAGTAGTCCAGAAGAGGATGATGAGGAAGCATTACTGGAAAAAGCCATTAACATGAGTTTACAGTGTTAGTGATTAAACTGTAAGGTTTAAATAAATATGAAGTAGGTATTTGTAGTATATGAACATTCTAACAAAACTCTATTTATTTGACTGCAAAGATCGCTTATCTATTTCATTGAAATAAATTTTATGTGACCATACTTTCGTAATTATAAGCACATCACATGTTAATGTTAGGTATCGGTGATAATGCTTTCGACTATCAAAAACCCATAGTTTGTGTACATTGATTCTAGAAGCAGTATTGAACTGTAATTTTAATAAATTAGTAGATCTAAAAACATTGCCACGAGTTAGTCTCATTAGAAATATTTTAATATTTTCTTTTGATGTTTCGTTTCAAAGTCTATTGTATGGGTGTTAATAGTCGATTTTCACATAATGGGGTATGGCCTGTTTCCCTACTGTGTCATTCAATGCAGGCCTTCATTGGCTAATTAAGAAGTCGGGAACTTATTTAGCCAGAAGCTGCTTGCATTTAATGGAACCTTATGTGAACATCAACTTTAATTCTATGTTTCTTTTAATCTTTTACTACCAAGATGCAATAAGACTTGAACGTGTTCAATAAATGTATTAAATTTTTCTCGAACCACCTACAGACGAATGAATTGAGATATGACCTTTATGCCAGTAAAGATTTTACATTTGAATGTATGAACATTAGAGTAATTTGATAGCCATTTTTTTTCTTATTTGTATATTTTTCAAGATTAACAATACTTATATCTTATTTTTAATGTATTAAAGAATTTAAGTACAATTGTAAAAAGATTAATACTGAATTATTATTTATTGCATTTAGTAAATCATAGTCTAATTGTTAATGAAAAAAAATGTCTTATTCTAAAAATTCTTTTTATTAATTTGTTAGTTTATAAATTTAAAATTTCTACTTGACCTGTTATATGAATTTGACTATTGTTATTTAATAATAACTGTAAATATATTTTATTTTCAAATAACTGATATTTGTTATGTTCATTTCACTACCTCCAACTTGTAATGTTTATGTATGATCGAAACGCTGTAAAGAAGATACGGGAGCAGCAATAAAAAAGTGTACAAAATAACTTTAGGTAGGTGGTAGGTATGCATGTTTATATTCTATAAAAATAAATTAGATACCTATATAAGCATATTTGAAAATTTATTAAATTTGTTCACTTATTTATTTAGAATTGTAGTATTTTTGTTTTTTTACATGTACCTACCTACTACTGTTGATTGTACTTGAATTAATTCATAATTTTTATATAAAAGTGTTAATAAAACTTTGACTAATTCTAATTTATTATGAGGATTTAAAATATTTTGTAAATACTGATATTGATATTAAGCGCCAAAATCATAGACAAAGAACAAAGAATAATAGAATGGTTACCATAGCTGCTTTCTAATAGGCAAGTGGAACGCTCCCGAAGTACTATTGAAGTACTTCGATTTCACATTTCGCGTTCCAATAATAATAAACTCCCTCGAACACTAACAACTTTTGAGGAGTTTCATGCTATCAATAAGGATTGGGTTAGGTTTTCGAGACATTTTATAATGGGTTAATTTCGATGCGATTCAATTGTCTAATTCAGGAGTAGTTAAAAAGCAGAACAGAACAGGAACACTTCAAGAATACTTTTATGACAATTGGAAAGCTACTGAAATAGACCATGGGGGTTTTCATTTTGGCAAAAATAGTACTTATTAGCAACTAATATCAGTTCAGAGTAACTCTAAGTTGCTATTTGCTGTTATATTTGCCAAATCGAAAAGCCATCATGTGTGTGAAAATCAGAGCTTCTTTCGAATGTAAGTCAAGACATCAAGCTCTTCTGACTCAGAAAATTAAACTTATTTTAATTGTTGATACTGATATTAAAAAAATACCTACATAAGTTTTTTTGATATAGAAATAATGTAAATTGCATCCTCGAATTAAAAAATAAAAGGATTACTTTCTCGTAGTTTCAACTGCACAAGCCTGTTCGTCGAAAACCATTATCGATAAATTATCCAAACCATAAATCGGCTATTGTTTCAATGGAAAAGGGGGGAAGAAAAGTAGAGTACTCTGATCTCTAATGAAGCGCACTCCGATCTCCAATGTATCACACTCCTAACTGGAACGATATGGGCAGAGACAATAGATAACTATATGGGGAGTACTCTGGAGCGATCAGGAGTGCTGCGATCAGTATAACCGTAACATTATTTGAAAAAATAAATATTTAAACTTTAAATAATGCCCGAAAACATCTCTGAAAATAGCTCCGAAAACAGTTAAGGACTGTTTTCGTCGCACTACAGCGAAAAGCGAAAAGTTTTTAGTTGCTATATAATTTACTCGCATCATTTCACTTGTTTTTTTGCAAAACGGAAGCAGCTAAAATGTAAGAATTTACGTAACCTTAAAAAATCTTGAATGTGTCAATCTGTCAGTGTATGTGGTGGTGTCAATTGTAATTAATTGCTACTGATATCATTGCGATTGCAGTGTTTTGATAATCTTCGTAGTAACAAAACATATGTGTTGATGTCTGACTTTTGACCCAAACCGAGAAAAGCTTAGTCTTATGGTTGTGTAACTATTTCTGCAAAATGTTGAATTTAAAAAATTTTTTGTTTTGGATATTACTGAATTTAGTTTTGGTGAAATTATCAAATAATGCAGCTTTAAGTATATACGAACAAAAGAAATATAAAAGGTATACAGACTCGCAAGGCCTCTATTCAAATAAAGATGATGTAGAAATTTTAACTTTAGAGAATTTTAAAAGTGAAATATATGGAAATAGGCGTGCTTGGCTAGTAGAATTTTACAATAGCTGGTGTGGATTTTGTCAGAGATTTGCTCCGTCATGGAAAGCGTTAGCTACAGATGTACGGGAATGGAAAGATGTAATTGCCATAGGAGTGTTGGACTGTTCAAATGACGATAATTACCCGATATGTAGAGATTTTGAAGTAATGGCCTATCCGACTCTAAGATATTTTCATGAAAATTACCAAGAAGGTCCTAAAAATTTTGGGGTAAAAGTGCGTGCCGGATCTGACGTAAATGAACATAGACAAAAATTATTAGAAGTTATTGTGCAAGAGCAAAATGAAAGCAGAGGAAAAATGTATCCTAATTTGTTACCATATGACTCGAATAATGTATCACAGTTATATGAATTAATCTCCGAAAATGTCAAATACATATTTTTAATAGTTCAAGAGCCTTCTCAGTTTGTGGGCGAAGAAGTTATAATGGATTTACATCATATAAATGATTTTATTGTGAGATATGCATTTAATAACAATAGTGAGCTCGTAAACACTCTAAATGTAAACAAATATCCTGCACTCTTCGCAATTGAAAAAGGTTCTTCGCCACAAAAATTAAATTCGATAACTTCTGATAGAGAAGGTTTTAAAATAGCTATCCGTTCGTTCCTAATACCTAAAAATATCAATGTGCCATTAAATGACACGAATAAACAAATCTATAAGGGAAAATGGGTTGAAGCTCAAGTGCCAGATATGACGTCATTCATGCAAGAAAGGGAAAGGGAAGCATTAAAGGAGAAAGTTAAGAAAATGGGTGATGTCGTATTTCAAATGGATCTAGAAACTGCACTTCGATATTCTCTTAAACGTGAAGTAGGTAGTGTTAAAGAAATAACTGGAGACAAACTGGAAGCTCTTAAGGCATACATAAATATCTTAGTCAAATATTTCCCATTTGGAAAGTATGGACAAGCTTTTCTTGTAGAATTAAAAGACTATATTTCCAATGAAGAGACAGTAAAAGGGTCTGAAATTGGTAAGATTGTCAAAGATGCTGAGAAAGAAGATCGACAAGTGTTTTCTTCTCCACAACAGTGGTTAGGTTGTAAGGGAAGCTCATCTAGTTATCGCGGTTATCCCTGCGGTGTGTGGAAGATGTTCCACTATTTAACTGTTAATGCAGCTGATTCTTCGTCTGGTCTAAAAGGCACCAATCCAAAGGTGGCATTAGAAGCAATGCATGGATACATTAAAAATTTCTTTGGTTGTGCAGATTGCAGCAACCATTTCCAAGAAATGGCTAAACGGAGAGAAATAGATAAAGTGCAATCATGGGATGATTCCATACTTTGGCTTTGGATGGCTCACAATGAAGTTAATAAACGTCTGTCTGGTGATCCAACTGAAGATCCTGAATATCCAAAAATTCAATTCCCGTCCAAAGAAAGATGTACCCAGTGCTATGATAAGGACGACTCATGGAAACTTCCAGAAGTTCTACACTATTTAAAACAAGTCTACAGCAACATTAATGTGAGATATATTGGATCTGATACGAGAATTCTACACCTGGGACTCGATGGATCGCTTTCATCAAATTCATCCAGTGTATTCAAAACAATTGATACAAGTATGTGTTTTATACTTTATGTTGCTTCCTTTTTACTAATCATATTATTAATTCGTATGTTCCTAAAAAGGGGGTACCGAAAAAAAATGTATGTGCATGATCTATTAGGGAAAGTTTGATTGCCAAAACTTTCAAAAAATTATTAACAAGTTGCTGTGTGGTAGCAGTAGTGCGATACAGTGGAACTTCGTTTTAGAGACTAATTATGAAAAAAGTAGTACTGTTTTGAAAATTCATATTGACAACGAATTAACAAGTATACAAGTATCATACCTATTTATTAGTACAATTTTTTTTTTTACGTAAACTAGCTATTTTAAATGCAGTAGTTTAAGGAATTGTATCATTTCGCTTAAACCGTAATTTATTAAATATTGCAGAGATTTCAATTATTTTATCTTCCAAATTACGGATTTCGCAGTTTTTTCAATCAGTACATAATTTGTTATCAACGAGGTTATCAATGCTCAATAAAGCGAGATTCTACTGTATTAACTTACTCTCAAATTTGCTGTTACTGTTTAGACTGTCGTATTTGTTTTCTAAATATGTCTTTGATTTATTGTGTTAACCATATTTTCAATAAGTCTCTGAATGTATGTTGTATGAATAATTTTTAGAATATTTTTTCCACTGTGACTGACATTTTTTTAAAATTAGATTATTGCACAACTAACATGTTTCTTGTAACTGATCTCATAAATTTATTGACTAAAGATTGTGCTATCATAAGCGTAAATATTTTTTTATAAAAATTTCAAAATTTTCATTGTGAAATAAACTTTTCCTGATAAAAATAATCACCACGCCTTTTTTATTTTTGAATTGAAAAAAATTTAGTCATTAAAAGAACACATCTAGAACAGTTGCGTTTTTCTAAAAATTAATGAATGACAATACAATTTTATTAGGCAACTTTTCCTAAAGTTAGAATTGAAAAAGTTACCAGTCTGATCAGTGGGAAACCCTTTCGTATAAAATTTTTATCTAGAAAATTATTTTAACAGATAATTATTAGATTTCCATTAATAGTATATACAACGAATTTTATAAAATACCTACATATTCTATATTTCTAATTCATTTAATTCCATATTTATAAGTCAAGTAATCGCCTGTCTTGCCTAAGAGACGAAAATATAATGTTTCAAATATTCTTGATACCTATTACTTTTAAGTTATACTTTTCTATAAAGTATTAAAAGGATATTCGTAATAATCAGTTTACAATATTGGCATCTGTAGATGAGTAAAAGGTTTAATTTGGAGATAAATTCTATTTCTATTATTTATCGCTATAAGCACCAGAATTTTGTATCAGATCCAACAAATGAACATCACAAAGGTCAAGGTATCAAAATGTAGCGTAATGTTTTATACCAATGAAATTATACATATTAGGGTGTCCCATGTTTAAAATGACAAACTTTAATAGGAGGTATAGGACACTCAGCCGACTTTGAAACACCTCTGCATTGACATTTAACATTATATGTAGTTTGTAAGTATCGAGATATTGGTGAAATCCTAATTTTAAAATTTTACGAAATCAACAAATCATTAAATTTAGTAAGTGTATCGCACTGAACTTAAATTAGTTTAATTGTTAATTTTATATGAACAGCTACAAAGTCGTCAATTTTTTTCCAGTTAGTTTCAGTTAAAGTTGAAAAACACCCTGTACCTCAAAAATGGTTTACGTTAAATATGGGTGTTTTGTAGTTTTATCTATCTCTCATTAAAGTTTACCACTTTAAACCTGGGACATCTTATTGTAGGTATATTGTCTGTTATTTTGCGAGTATATTCCTGAGAATTATTTTTTTTTAATTGTTACATTGAAAATTTTAAAATTGAATACAAATGGTCGTGGTGCTATTTATTATACTTTTGAAAAAGTACCAGTAATGACAGATTTACAAAAAGTGTTACAAAATGCCAACAATTTTACAAATTAAATTTGTATATATTTTAAATTACGTATTTATAAATTTTCTAATCATAATTTCCTAAAACCAAAGCTAAATTATTATATTTCGTACAACGATAAATGTAGTACAATATGAGCAGAAGAAATTTGTTGTCTATATTTATAATATTTAATGATTCCATTGTTAATTCTTATTTATTTTAATAGTAACTACAAATTTGTTTTATTTAGGTATTATATTTACATAAGTCTGCCAAATAAATATTAACGACAAAATTTGTATTATTTTAAATATTTGTCTTTATATGTATAAACCCCAAATTAGTTTAATTTGTTTTAAAAAAGATATAACTATAATTTTATAATGAATATAAAGTAAATAAACTTATTGATATACCTAATCGCAGTTGTACATAGTGATCAGTGGTAAAAAAACAAAGATAAGTATTTATTTTGGATTTAAAGAAGTATGATATAAAATCGTATATTTTAATAAAAATATTAAATAAATATTTCCTCTGTATTAATCACATTGCTATAATAAATTTATAATCAACGAATATTAATTCAAAATGCAGAATTAGATATAGGAGAGCCATTTTATGGAAAATTATAAATTTTCAAAGTATTTGAATTACCATTTTCCATACTAAATGTAAATTATGTTTACATTTATATAAAGTCCAAAAGCACTTTTTTTAATATAAATGATTCTTAATTCGAAACTGGTTAACTATTTTTAGGAGATAATTTCTACATTCACAAATCTTTCATGAAGAAAGAATTTCAAAAGAAATTGCATATTTCAAAATAAAAAGTTCCTTTTTTAAAAAATTTATATTTTATTATTAGCTCTCATATTTTTACTTTATTTTAAAGCTATGATTAAGCTAATTTAAATAATTTAAAAATTTTTTTTAAAAATTATTTAAGAAATCTATACCCACCTATATTTTTACCAATTGCTGCTACTAGTTTAAGATTTTCTATCGATGTTGTATGGAATACATTTTATTTAACTATTAATGCAATAATAATAATAATAATAATAATAAATCATAATTAGTTAACTTGTTGCAAAACCTAAATAATAAGTGCCAAATACCAAATCTCTAATTATCCTGTCTTTTAAGTATAAATATACCTACTTATTTTTTCTTGTGTTGTAGTTGTCGTGCTGCTTGGTCTAACGTTCTGCTATCTTGTGAATAAGTGTAAGCATATGTAGTGAAGGAATTTTATAAGGAATCATAAAAAGTTCATATCGCTTCTGCATGGTAACGCTTCAATCTAATTATAATTTTTATCGCATGTATGCCGAGTCTATCCGTTTATAAAGTTCATCATACTTTATGTTATTGTTAGATACCTAGAGCATTGTTTGCCACCTGTAATATTGAAATAAAGTGTAAAAAATATTTTGTGCAGTGTGCAGCATATATGTATATAACAAAAAGTATTATAATGTAGGTATTAAATAACTTGTGTGATAAAATAACTGTTAAAATTGTTATTGCTTATAAAAGTCACCACACCTTAATATTTAAATTCTTAGGAATTGATTTCAAAAATTTTAAATGTTCATCAAACCATTGTAATGGTGATTACTTAAATATGAAATTATGTACATGTAGCTTTTTGAAAACACTCTGTGTAATATCTTCATATAAGGGCTGCTAGTTGGAAAGATTTTTTATATTTAACATATTTTTTTAATTTAAAAATAGAAATTTAAGGTGAGGTGACATTTATAACCAATAACACATATATTTTCTTATAGCATAGCATATCAAGACTCTGCGTAAATTATTTCTATTTATTTAAAAAATATTTCAAAATTTACAAAATATATTTAGTTTCCATTTTCTTATTTCTGTTTTGTGTTTTGTAACGATATTATTTCATAGCTGCTTATAGTAAAATGACACAGAACTGAATTCACACTGTATGGTCGTGGTATAAGAAATATATCAATTTTTTTCTGATTTTTATCTGTAAATATAAAATATTTTGTAATATATTTAGAAGCAATGTCAATTCAAAATCCACGTTCGTTTGAATTTATGTGCTTTTATGTTTTTATTACCGATTGTGTTAATTAATTAATTAATTTCATGTTTCTATTGAGGGATAAGAGTGTAGCAATTAGACAGAATAGAAGCATGAAAAAAAATTATATTTGTGTAGGGATAATTAGCTGCATGTTCCTTGGCTGTGGTATTAGGTAGGTAGAAGCTAATAGGTATATAGAGCAGTGGTTCCCAAAGTTTTTGAAGTTGCGATCCCTCTCAACCACTACTTAACAATTTGAAGATAACAAAAATTTATGTTAATACATTATTTCAGTTAGTTTGTAAATCCTTTAGCAACCCCCTGTGATCTATTTTCCACACTTTGGGAACCACTGGATTAGAGAACATGTTGCGAAAAACTTATAATATCGTTAATTGCAATACAGGGTGAGACAGATATAAGTTCCAATTCAGAAGTATGTAATAATACTTTTGCAAATGAATAGGATTCATCATAATATAGAACAGTAGATTTTTTTAACTTGCTCTCTGTAGGTCTCGAAGACATTTTTTCTAAAAATGTTCATATGAGAAATCTGATTCACCTTGTTGCTTAAGATAAAAAAACTTTTATTCCCGCATCATATTTTTTTGTGAGAAGCCAGTTGTTTGTAATTGAAAAATATAATTTGTGTCAAAAAACGTAACAGAAATGTTAAATTAATTTAACAAAATTGTTTATACAAATTCCTTAATAAAAGTTCTTTTATAGAAGTATGGGTTCTTCCATTTACAATGTGTACGGTTTTTATCTATACCTTGAAATGTCAATAAAGATATACTATTTCTTTGTTTAGGCAATAGTCAACGCCACATCACTACTGTCTGATAGTGTATCATGGTTGTAGCAAGTGTCTGATGCTATGTTACAATTAGCATTTATTTTTATGTACGTATAAAATATATATATTGTTATTCCAGAAGTGGGAGTCTATGTAATATTTCATTATTAATAATAACTTGGTAAGGAATTAGAAAATACAGGATTAACCATTTAATGAATTTATTAATAATTAAACTAACGTTTATTACGAAAAATTGCATTTGTAAAATTTGGGATATTTTTTATTTAAAAGGATGTGATAATTCATAAATAAATAAAACGTAACGTAAATATTTCTTTGAGAAATATACAGGGTGGTCTAGTTAAAGGTAGCTCACCATGGAAATCTCGGAAAAGGTAAGAATGCAAAAAATTTGTGATAAGAGTTCATAAATGATGTCTTCAGTTTTCTTGTGTGACTTTAATAGATCATAAAAAATTTAATTTTGAAACTCGACTTATTCGTTTTTCAATAATTTTGCTTATAATTAGCAGCAGTTGGTGTTATAAACATTTTTTCCTGACCTACAGCGTGTCCCGCTGTAATGTCCGGAAGAGGGAAAAGTTTTTTATTTGTGGGTTTACTCCAAAAAGTCACTCTTTGTAAAAACTCCTGCTTGTTCCAAAATGGTCAAAACTGTTAAAATATTTGTCATTTTTTATAGAGGGTGTTCAGTATTTAGAATCCGTCATTTTAAACTCTATTATAGCTCGCACAATCAGGTCCCACCTGGTTTAAAAAAAAATTCAAAAGAAGTTAGTGAAACCTCAAATTTTTAATCCCCTGTGGATCCTAAATGACATCCCTGATAATATATTTCGATATTGTCAAAAATAACGGTACTTTACTCTTGGCGACTAACAATATTTTTCTGAATACTGAACACCCTGTATAAAAAATGAACAATATTTTAACAGTTTTGACTGTTTTGGAACAATCAGGAGTTTTTACAAAGAGTGACTTTTTGTCGTAAACCTACAAAGAAAAACCTTTTTCTTCTTCCGGACATTACAGCGAGACACCCTGTAGATTTTGAATGAGGACTTTGTACCATTTATCGTGTACAAGATTTCTATGGTGTTCACCCTTAAGAGATTAAACTGTATTTCACTATTGTTTTAAAATTGAAAATTTTTAATTAAAAGTTTTATAAAATTTACTTTTTAAGAAGGCTCTATAGCAAATAGGCAACCAGCAATACATTTTTATAGATTTTATTACATAGTTTGACAAAATATGAATGAATGCACAAATAACAGACTTTCCCCCATTTTAAGGCAGATTTTCTATAAAATGGAGTTAATTTGAGTTTCAAACCAAGTCCATTTTATAGAAAATCTGTGTTAAAGTGGGGGAAAGTTTGTTATTAGTGCATTTTTAGACGAGCTGTGTAATAAAATCGATAAAAATGTATTGCTGTTTGCCTAATTGCTATAGATTCCTCTTAAGGTCTAAATACTTTTACTGTGTACAAACCAATTTCACTTCGATGTAGATGGGCTACTTGAAAAAATATATTTTGTACAATTTTATTGATAGGTGGAATGTGATGTTTTATAAAGTTTTTTGATATTTTGGGTATGTATAATATATATTTTTTGTAACAATGAAATAAACATATAACAAAACAGTGTATTTATTTTTGTTCGCTTGCCGGTATAGACTATCGGTAATTCTGCGTTTTATCTAACGCAGGCCTAAAATAATCCCTTCACTATCAAGATACGACCAGTTTAATTTTCACCAGTTCTCACCGCTTCCATTTTTCTTAATAAGGGACGGAATAAAAGCCGTAACGTGTGAATTAAAACTTTATTATATAATCACCTCAAGAATATATTATATTTTTAAATAGGACATAGATTACAAAAAATATAATTCTTTATATCGAATAAATGCTTTTATTTCCTTGGGCGTTAAGCGCTAGAATAGAACACCACGAAACATCAAATATCAACTTGTAATAAAAAATTAACGTCGTTAGTACGTTTACCTATCGACTAACGTAAAACAAATATTTGGCATAGGTGTACATAGTATTATATTGTGTGTTGGAACATTTAAAGACACTGGCCGTGGAACTTTCCAATTCGTACCTTCAAACTTCCTCTTGTCTATGCGACGTACACAGACTGCAACGAAAAAATGGCGGTATTCAAACTTTTGTAATTGTTAAACGATGCATACCTTTGAGATATCTACTCCAGTCATGGTCTTCACGAGCTGTGGCATTCGGTTGACAATATCGAGAACCTCTCCCGTCAATTTCGCTGCCCCCACGTCACCAGAGCCGGTAGACACCATCGTTATTTTTTTTGCCTGGGAAAGTGGCGCAGCGATCTCGGCGGCAACCTATGAGAACGAATTTAACGAAACGATGCATAATTAGTATTCGTACGAGGTGATATAGGTTGTAGTTAGAAAAATTCGTCAGGTGCTTTTTTAAGCAATAAGTTTCACGTTTGTGGCGTAGAACGTTTCGTTTTTGAGATACGGGGTGTGTGTTGACTAAAAATATCAGATTTTCTCGAATATATCTGAGAACGTTTGGCAAAAATCTGTAGGCTAATGAACGCTGCACCAGTGATTAATTTAAGGGGTGAAACCACGGTAAAATGCTAAAATAAAGTGTTTTTTTTGCGATTTTTTAATAATGTTAATTTTTTTTATATTTCAACACTGAAGGATTGAGAGACATTCACACGATTTTTTTTGCTTAAAATCTGTTATACTGTCACCTGGTGAAGTTTCCCAATCACCACTTGGAGCTACTACACTAGACACAGAAATTAAGAGATATTTAAAAAATCCCAAAATTTTGGGTGATTTTCAAAGAGCTGGAACTTGGACGGAAATGGTCGTGGAAAGAATCAAAATAAAGGAAATTGAAGCTCGAAATTTCTAGTTTTCAGATCTGGTGTTTAATATTTTTTAGCGTCAGCAGTTATTGAGTAATCATAAGAAAATCAACGAAAAAAAAACACGCAAATTTTTGCTTTTCTTTAGAAAGGCTTAAGGACTAAAAAAATTTTTTTTGCTAATTTCACCATAAAGCTCTTTTAGATAATTTAATTCTCTTCAATTTGACCGGTTCTGGAGCCCTGTACGATGATTTGTCACTAAGTTATCGTAGATCAAAACAAAAAAATAATTTTTGACTATGGCAATCAATTACTTGGGAAATAATGGTCGTACAGAAAATCCAAGCAGGTTTTTGAAAACTGCAATGTATTCTCTACAAGTCGTAATTATTGGTTTTTGATAAAAACTATTTTTTCGAAGTGAAAATGTTGGTTAGAAAAAAGATAAAAAATTGCATAATTAGGGATATTTGAATAACGACATAACTTTGCAAATAATGATTAAACTAAAGATATTGTCCTGTAACTTTTCAACCTCAAAGTGTCCTAAAGAAACACTGATAATTTCAAAACGCTGCAATTTTTTTTTGTTAGTGCCCGGAATGTTTAAAATTGTCGTTTTTGCTGTAATTTTTCACTTTTTATTCATTTTTTTAAGTTAAAAATGTTTTTTTAGCAATAATCCATATTTTCTTCATCAAAAAACGTTCATTATTAAAATAAAAACGATTTTTTTTTAATTTTTATAATTTTAAGAAAAAATTGTTTTTGAAAGAAAAATTCCAACATTTTCACTTCGAAAATTTTTTTTTTATCAAAAACCAATAATGACGACTTTTAGAGAATACTTTGCAGTTTTCAAAACCCCGCTTGAATTTTCTGTACGACCATTATTTCCGGAGTAATTGATTGCCAAAGTAAAAAATGACTTTTTTTGTTTTTATCGACGATAACTCAGCGACAAATCATCGTCCAGGGCTCCGGAACCGCTTAAATTGAAGAGAATTACATTATCTAAAAGAGCTTTATACTGAAATTACTAAAAAAAAATGTTTGTAATCCATAGGCCTCTTTAAAGAAAAGCAAAAATTTGCAATTTTTTTTTTCGTTGATTTTATGTTTACTCAAAAACTGCCGACGTTAACAAATTTTAAACTCCAGATCCGAAAACTACAAACTTCAAGCTTCAAGTTCCTTCTTTTTGATTCTCTTTACGACCATTTCCCTCCAAGTTCCAGCTCTTCGAAAATCACCCAAAATTTTGTGATTTTTTTAACATCCCTTAATTCCTGTGCCCAGTGTACTATATCATTGGCACTATATTTTACCTTGGGTATAACATCCAAGAACATATCCACCATAGCAGCTTCCCTATATTCCTTCCAAGCATCCGCTTTTTTAGCCATCTGTTCCGCTTCGGCCTTAGCTTTGGCCTCGATGGCATAAGCCTCAGCTTCGCCTTTGAGCCTCAGTGCCTCCGCTTCCGCTTCAGCCTCCAAAACGACCCTCTTATGATTGGCCTCGGCAATTTTCTCCAATCGGTACTTCTCTGCCTCGGCGGGTCTTCGAACGGTAGCCTCAAGCTCCCTCTCCCTCCTGGCTATTTCCTGTTCTTGTACGGCAATCTGTTGAGTTCGCTCCACCACTTTTATCTGCATCTGTTCCTCCTTAATTCTTTGTTTGGTTTTGGCGGCCTGCAATTCGTAGGCCATTTCGGCTTCGGCATTTTTCGTCTGCACCTCTACATCGTAAGCGGCTTTCTTCAGTTCGAAGTCACGTCTGGCTTTCGCTATTTCCGTGTCGTTCAGGAACACGGACGCCATCCGTTGCTCTTCGGCTATGGCCTCTTTGATTTTCGCGTCGGCCCTGGCCTCGGCCTCGCCTATCCTCGCGTCACGTTTCACCTCGGCAGTTCTCGCCATACCCAGGCTTTTTAAGTAACCCTAATGCAAATAATCCAGTTGATTCGACTTGTTAGAACGATTATTTATAGATAAGTGGGCTAAATTTGTTTAATAGATACTTTTGATGATTGTATTGGCATTGTTACCAAACTGACATTTTTTAGATTTGACAAGAAATTGTTATTTTCCTTTTTTCTTTCAAAAACATCAAATGAAGTGCAATAATTACGAATTAAACTCTTTTTATCGAGTAACTGATGAATTATTTTCACATATGCTATAATTAATAGTATAATTAGTTTTATTTAGGCCACATCTCTACACGAGTAGTGTTTGAACTAAAGTATAAAAAGCGTTAACAGACGGAAGATGTAATGCATAAGTGCCAAACACCAATATTAAAACTAGCATTATTAGAACGACACAAAATTAAAGATTTTGGAATTTAGTTTTAGTAAATTTTTTTATTTTATTCCTAAATATCTACCACATTCGACACCAACTTTTTTATTTAGTAGCAATTCGTAGAAGTTTAATCATACTGACATGTATTGACTGCAACTGAATGTGAATTATATTTTTCAATCTTAGCAGTGGCGGCTGATGAAAGTTAAAGTTTTTATATCATTTGATACCATATAGACTTATACCGTTTTTTAGGAATTTATTTCTAGGCCCTCGTAGAGAACTTTCATGATGAAACATTTCTATTTAAAACGACACTAATTTAATTATATAGTTCACGAATTTCCTTCGAAATTCTCGTCTCATAAATTTCTCTGTATATGCCTAGAAATCATCGCATAAACCAGCCATCACCACCATCTTTTGTATGATTATATTTCTACTTAGACGAAATGATGGAAGATGAGATAAATCATTTACAAAACAATACTACTTTCTACGTCAACTGTGTTAACTCAAAATGTAGTTCATTAAATCATTTTGGCTATTTTAGAAACAATCATTATGTTTATTGGCATATTTGTCATTAATTATTAGTAGTTTCTTGTGACTGGCTGTATTTTGTCCTTTTAGTTTACTTAATTCTTTTAGTATTTCCATACTATCAAACTTCAGTTCAGTTCAAAAATAAAAAAAGGGTATCTCCTAATTGTAAATGCAATTTTGTCTACTCATATACTACTAATAAAATTACCTATACAGCCAATTACTTTTTTTTTATGTATTTTACTTTTAAAAAATGAAAAATATACTTGTGCACATTTCTTTCTGTACAAAAATTTCTGAGCTTTTTCTGTTTTAGTTCAAAATATTAATTTGTAAAGGCGATACATTTAAATAAATTTAGAAATTATGTAAATAATTCTACAGAAGGTATTACTAAAAATGGCCTCCCTATTAGCCCAGTCGATGGAGGCCACAGAAACAAGTAACTAGCAATATGGAAGAATTTTTTTTTATATAAGTACTTCAAAGTATGCAGAATATAAGAAAAAGTTCATTGGTCTATCGATTTCCCAAAGTCCAAAAAAATTTTGAAAAAATTTTGATTTTTGAAATTCTTTAATATTTGGGACTGGGATGAAGATGGAGAAAAATAAAAAATACCACCTTATAGGAGAAGTTTTTTCCAACAAAAACGACACTCTGTGCTTTTTCCGTCCAAGATATGGTTTAGCTGGAAAAAATTCAATAAACCAAGTGAGAGCCCATTTTTTGAAGCACGGCGCTCTACTTTATAAACTATTGCATAGTTATAGGGTATTAAATTAATAATTGTTATAGCCCATTTTCAAGTAGGAAGTTTAAGCTTTTCAATGGTATGGTAATTTTTTTTTTCAAATAAAAGATCGAATAAAAAATTACGCATATATCGAAAACCGAGCGTCTCAACGACAAATATAATTAAACATAAGGATAGTTGTAAAAAATTTTTTCGAAGTCGGTAATTGTTATTTAGGTGACCTCTCACAAATAAAATTTCCGGGTATTGATTTTTATCTAATTACGAAATACGACCTTTGTAATTATTTTAAACATTTTAGGAATTGTGAGTTTACTGCAAAGTATATATATATATATCTTTTAATGATTTTTCATATAAGAAAATAGCAATTTTTTTGGTTCCCGGTGTAAATTTCCTTAGATCGTTTAATATAAAATTTGATACTGTTACAATATGAAGACGAATATTCAAAGAGTAGAATGTAAATAGTCGACAGGTATGAAAATATCCAGGTAGGAAATACAGTATACATGAAAACGATGACTTTATGTAATTTTGTATTTAATTTTTTTCCTCTGATTTTGTAATAAAAATATGTAAATATTACCTTGTATTTATTATTTTTTACTTTGAGTATATTCGTAAATCTAAAAAAAAATTTTGGAAAATTTTTTTCAATGAAAATTTTTTGATATTTTTTATTTTCTTTCGCATTGAATTAAGATCGAATATTGATTTCTACACATTAATGTATTCAATATTTGAGTGAAATTTGACAATTCTTACGTTTGAAGAGTGAATTTATTCTGTTTGCTCGCGGAAGATTGTTTCATGGCTCTAATAATTTTTCCAGACAAACCATAGCTCGAACGAAAAAAGTGTAATGTATCTTTTTTGTTGGAAAAAACTCTTCTACAAGATAGTATTTTTTATTGTTCTGTATCTTGATGCCAGTCCAAAATATTAAAGAATTTCGAAAATCAAAATGTTTTTCAATATTTTTGTGGACTTCGACAGACCAATGAACTTTTTATTATATTAATCTGCATACTTTGAAGAACTTATAAAAAATAAATCAGTCATATTGCTAATTACTTGTGCTTTTGGTGCAAAATTACTTCCACCGACTGGGGTATATGTCTCAATACTATTCTCTAAAAGGTTTCCGATTGTGACAAATTATTGACACATTTTTTTCTAATTTTAACACCTTGTACCTAAAAACAAGGAGTTCAATAAGAAAAAAATTCTTAAATTTAGACGAGGAAAACCTTCCTTGGGTTTTGATCATTGTTGTGTTACGTTTTGTACGTTTTCAAGGATATAAATATCAAAGTTAAAACTTAAGTTTCAACTCGTGTTTGCTCCTAAGGTTGTAAATGATTTATTAATTTTTTTCTAACATGAACCATTCCAACAAAAATTAAAAATCAGTAATAAACATACCTTAGCGCCCTTTGTAGCGAACATAAAAAAGATAAAAATAAATCAATGAACTACAAATTGAGACGGTGCTTTTAACTTACCTCCTCGTCTCTGATGTCTTTGAGAGTGTAAGAAACAACCGTAATACCCATATTGACCAAATCCGAAGAGGCTACTTCAAAAACTTGTTTGCTAAATTTCTTTCGGTCTTTGTAGATTTCCTCGACCGTCATGGAACCCATTATTGCTCTTTGGTGGCCTTCTAAGGTTACTAGGGCGATGTGCTGAATTTCGTTTTCACTTTTCCCTAAAAACTGTTCACATGCAGCCAGTAACATTTCCTCATTTTGTCCCTGAATTTTCACCTTAAAATAAGTATGTAACAGTTTTTACCCGTAAAACATCAGTAGATTAAAATTTAGCTAAAAAATCATCAATTGTCATACTACTCACTTGTGCTATTCCAGTGACAGATATTGGAACGCCCTGGCTTGTGTAGACAGTCGGGCTGTCGACAATGAGGGTCATGGTGTTTAATGAAATTCTATAAATAAAAAAATATATAGATACTAAAGACAATTTTACATAGTTTGTTGGGGATGATCATATAAATACCAATATACCACCTATATTTAGTTTTTTCATAAAAATGTATCTTTTTGATTATAAATATTTACTTTGTTATATCAGACTTATAGCGAATTGGGTACAACAAACCTTTGAATGCTTTGAATCGTTGGCCATATGAAAGCTCTTCCTCCAGGCACTAGTAGTGGTTTGCTGTAACAACATCCTGCAACCAAAGAATTTTGAGTTACATTGTGTTCATGGATTACTGTCACGAGACGAAAAACTGTTTGTTTTTGAGAAAATAACGAAATTTTGATTTCCAAAGAAAGTAATTGCATTTTTAAAGATAAATTCAGCGTGTTAATAATATAAGAAAATATGAAATACTTAACGAATAAAAAACTAAATAGAATTTAAAATATCGTTCATGTCGTAAATAACTACAATTATTAAAAGTTGGTATTAGACAAAAATATGAATATTCAAAATTAGGTCTAATTACAATAAAAAAAAATACGCTGCGTATGGATGGATCACTAACAGCTTCTTCAGATATGAAGGTATTTTTAGATTTATGAGGAATCCCTATAAGTATCTAATTCCTGATAGCTGTTTTTGAATGCCATAACACATGTAATCGAAAGAAACGTAAAATTAACGTATAAAAATCTTGTTAACAATCTCTTCAAAAACTTTTGAACATAAAATAGTTTATACTTTTCGAATTCGAACGAGTCTAGTGATCGAGTTAACACGATCAGCTTCCGAAAACCCTATGGTGCTGCTCACCAACCAGTTCAGTTCAGTTTCTATTAATGCATGACGTCAGCTAAGAGATACAGACCACAAACTCACAAGGCATAAACTATTTATGTATGTATATAAACAGCTGGATTTGTATAAGATACTACTATTTAATAACTTAGTCTACACAACATTTGAATTATTGATGTTAATTTAACATAATCGACATCCTAAAAATGAAATATCCATATGGATATTTGATATTATATAATACAATAATAACACCATACTTATTAAAAAAAAATAATTTATGGTCCGCCCACCGGCTGCACGGAAACTTTTAAACAAACTCAGTACCAGAGATTCCATTCTATATAGTGTATACCTCAGACTACTTTATTTATTACTCTAAGGTGTATATTTTGTGATGCAGACTTTTATTTTTACACAATTGGTAATAGTTGGCTAAACAACAAACAATTGAATTTGATGGTGATACATAAGACGCATACCGTATTTCCACATTACGTATGGTTTTTAAAAAGTGTACAATTTTAACGCAAACATGACCTTAAATATTGTGTCAAAATAAATACCGTGTTTGAAGTTTGTAGAAGTCTGTTTTGCACGTAGACCTTAAATTAATTACATGAAGAAGTTTAGGCGGCAACAGCTTTGGAAAAGTAATTATTATAAAAACGATTGAAAGTTGTATTTCCATAAGGTAAGTACATATAAAAAATTATTCAAATTCTATTTTTTTAATTGAGTGAATACAGAAAAACTACACTTTTCAAAGAACGCAGTGTTTAATTTTTAATATTTATATGGATTATGGATCACATTTCATTTTGCATTAAAGCATTAAAGTCATCTCGGCATGGCCTCTATCTAGGATCTAGTAATCACTCACTAATCAGAGACAACTCTGGATAGGTAACTACGTAGATTGTATCACAACATGAAAATCCTGATAATATCGGAATAATAATTTTGTTACATACTATAAGTAAAAGTAATAAATCTATCAGTATCTGACATATAAATATTAGTATGTTAATTATTTAATAATTAATTACAATTGGCGATGATACTTATGATTTTTAGTAATCCAGTTTCATTATATTAGTTCAAATATGATATTAAATCGAGTACTATGAACGGGTTTTTACCAATAAATCTGTAATGTACGAATTTACTTTTATGACATTTATCAATTTTTGAAAAACCCGCCTTTCCTTTTTATTTACTTCGTGAAAAGAACGCATTTGGTGTATTGCACAACATTTCTGTTCGTAAACAGCACATAAAATAAATCTTACCTGAAATAACCAAGGCTTCGTTAGGCCCACAAGTAACAAATCCCCACGTCATTGCACAAAGAGTACCCGGAATACCCTTAAATACATTCAAATTTTATACGACTCAAAATAACTAGACAGGAGTGGCTCAAAGTGACTAGTGTGTCTGTTTACGATGAATTCCGATCGCATGCGCCTTACGCAATGTCTCGTTTCATTGATTAATTTCAGAGCCGCCTTGTCGCAGATCGCACATCACAGGCGTAGATACGTGTCGGGTGGTATAAATAAAAAAACTTTTATATACGTTTTATTTTATACACAAAAAGATACACATAGATGGAACTGTTTTGAGTATTTTGTTAATTGCATTGCTATAATTCTGGTTGAACAAAATCTTAGAAATTGGCAGCAAATAATCATTACTTTAATACCTTGTGCCACAATAAAGTGGTACAAGAAACAAGTTATATGTATACTTTTTATTTAGCGGTAATTTTTAAATTAAATTCAAGTTGTGTTTTTATTATTATTAAATATATTACTTAATAATAATTACTTAAGAAAAAATATTAAACTGTTCATTAGTTAATATAAAAATAAATAATTGCCTTAAGCGGCGCCCATGTCGATATTTTCGTGTGCTCTGGTAATTTTTATGGCGCCTGCTACTTTAATTTACTGTCTTTGCTGACCTTTAGTTACTAAATATAGACCCATCTGTCTTTTAAGTAATACAATTTTTTCTTATTAAAATTATATCTAACAATTTTGTTCAAATTTATTATGAACATAAATTAAGTACAGTGTGTAGTAATACTACATTTTACTTTCCATCCATAGCTGTTATTATTAGAAACAGAAACATTTTCACTGTATATAGGGACTTTCCTAAAGCTACAGTTTCATAGATCAAATGAAAATTACTAATGATGACGCATAATCAAAATACATCAAATGCTGTTTTGTTAGATTTGTTATTACATTTATGAAATATTCATTTGGCTCCTAAACCTCCTAAATCCTGTAACCTTTGGATAAATATAATTCTAGGAAAGCATTCAAAATGTATATGAATATTGTTGGTTGCCTACTTCAGACATAAAACTTTATTAAGTGGTAATAGAATTTTATCATTTTTCCTTTCAAAGCGTAAATATATTGATAATAATATTACATAGGGTTATAACATTGATTTTACAACATCGTTTATCGAGTCATTTCTTCTAGTTTAAGTTAATTGAGCTCCGAGAGTTCGTTGTGTCCAGGATATATTCTACATAGACATAGACAAACTTTAAAGAATTAATTCAATGAAAAAAGTTCATATAGTTAATACTGGTCAGCAACAGCTGTGTTTTCTATATAGGTACAGGTTGTTTTAGTTTTACAAAATCAAGCAATTTTTTTGGTTCTAAAGCTGCTTTTTGAGATATTAAATATTTTTTAACTCAATCGCTAATCGGTAGTTTAAAACATCGTTGGTGAGTTTTAAGAAATACAGCCAAAGAAATTATAAATAATATTTTTTTGACTTACTTTCAATACCTAAACAAATTCAGTAGTTGCGGATTTGTGATTACCTGATAGAGAGACGCAGGATACTGAGGCGGCCAAAAGCGGCCGAGAAACGCAACAATAAAGAAAACCAAGTAACTAGAATAAAATATGCCGGCGTAACTTCGGATTTTTGTTAATGGATGTTCAAAGATTATTTAAGAATTTTGGCAACAATAAAAATTGCAATTTTTAATATAGTTTATTGACGTTGAAAATGGTTAAAATCGCGTTTATCGAACAAAAAATCGTTAATATCTCGAAAACGGTAAATTTTAGAGAAACTTTTTTGTTCAGGATACCCAAGAAACCTAAAACTATTATTCAATATGTTTCAAGGCTCATTTTTTTTAACAAGATTATGAAAAAAAATCGAATGAGAATCATGTTCTTAGCGGGAACTATGATTTTTTGTCTTAAAATTAATCAAAATTAATTTCTCAGAGTTTGCCTGTACCTATTAATCAACACTGCGTAAAATATATTTTTTAAAATGTAATAAGAATTTGAGAAAAACCTTTTAGTATGTATTTCTAAAACTAAAGATATGTTCTATTTTTTATTAAATGAAAGTATTTCATTTACAATCTAGACGTTTGTTATGGCATTTTGTTGATATGGAGATAAATATTTTCACTTTTAAGTGCATTACACTTGTGTTATAAAACAATTTACATATATTATATTGCCGTACAGGATATACACCTATGTATTCTTTCACATTTTTTTTTTACAAATACGGTATACATGTTTGGAAAAGTCATAATGAAACAAACGATAACGAGGTTTCGTAACTATACTACTTTCTTTTCAAAAACTGTTTGGAAAACGTGTACCTGTCATTATTATCTCGTTTATATTAAGATTTAAAATGTGTTTCTTAAAGAGTACATTTTGTACTGCCTGCTTATGGCGATACAGAGATTTAAGTTTCAAACAATTAACGAATTTTAGAGACAGATTTATTAGTTAATAAAATTGATTTTAACTTAAATTATTTCATATGCTGGCCCAATTTTTATTTAGAGGGATAAAGCGAAGCCCCAATAAATTCTTGAAGAAGACAAGCAAAAAAAATCCATGAGGATCCTTAGGTGGCTTAGAAGAGTTATAAGGTTATAGGTAGGTACTGGGTGATTCATATGAAATTTTCAGTCCTGATAAGGACAACGGAAAGAATTTTTGGTCTGTTGATAGAGCTCCTTGATGAAGTTGATTAAAGATCCAAATAGAATTTTTCCAAAGCTAAGTGTCATAGATGACTCTGGAGTCAAACAAGGTATTTCTTTCGTAGGAACCACAGAAAATGAGTAATTTGTATTTCTATAAACAAATTTTGAAAATTTAGGATTTTGATTACTTTCGCAGTAAACATTAAGCATTACGAGTTTCTAGAGTATTTAAATAATAAGAAACTATTTTCAAAGTTCGAAAATAGACTTCTATAGAAACTGGTATAAGGGTGATACCTTGATAATTCAGACAAGCACAGTTACAGTCTCTAAACATGTTTCATATTTTTGGTTCCTTATTATGTCAATGAGCTGCATTTGAGTCTCATTTATAAATTCGAATGCTCTGTATATTTAGTACTAGTTGGTACCCTTAGATAGGTTTGGAAAGCTTTAAGAATGAACTTGAATTCGCTTTTAAAAGAAAGGTAAATAAGATTTAAAATTTAAATTGTTTTTTTCTTAAATAAGGAAACGGTGTAATAGCAACAGTACAGGCAAAAAGTTATGTAAAGTAATTTATGAAATAAAAAATTCGCTATTAGAGAAATCTCCCGTTTACTGTCACTTTCCTTTTAAAATTAAACTTAAATGGTAAATATTTGCAGGATCTATTAAAGAAGAAACATTGCTATTCTTGGCAATGAACGTAAGGACGTGATTTTATTTTAAACTATCTTATGCGGCATTAATTGATTTTAAACTACATAAAATCTTTTTCATTTATATCTAATATAAACGCGTTTCAAATTTTCGTTATAACTTTTAGGCCATTCATTATAGCTTTTTTTCGAGAAAAAAATACTATTAGAAGTTTCTCTACGGAATATTGTTCAGAAACGTGTTATAAACAAAATATCAAAAAATCAACTCGAGACTAGTTGGGAAACTTTGTTAAAACAATGGTCAAAATTATGGAAAAGTGGTTTTTCGACTGGCGTAAAAAAAACTGTTATTCATAGAGAAAAAAAGGTTTATACAAAAAAGGTAGGTATTAAATAAATCTGTAAAATAAGACAAGTCCGATTAAATTCCGATAATTTGTTTATGCGCAAGAGCTCAAAAA